AGCATTTTACTTCCAGAATCAAAGAAGTATGTGAAGAAGTACTGTGGTGAATGGACAGATGGAAAGAAGCATGTATGTATCTGCCATAATGTTTCACATGCACGCTACAAGACATATCGGTATGTATGGTCAGTGATGTACTTGTCCGGCTTCTCAGGGGTATGGCACATACTTTTACAAAAACTCATCAGTGTACGAGGGGGAGTGGAGCGAGGACCAACGGAGTGGCTGGGGAAGGATATACTATGCAAATGGAGACATCTATGAGGGCAAGTGGCTGAGGGATAAGAATCATGGAGAAGGAATCTTTATATTTTGTAAGAGAAAATTTTCTATACATGCATGTGAATCAAAACTAGATTATAATTTGGATGTTATAATGCGACTTTCAAATTTTTGTTTAAGCAAATGGAAACAGGTATGAAGGTAGCTGGCGAGAGGGGAAGAAGGATGGTCGTGGAAAGTTCTACTACTGTGACAAAGGCCAGCTTTATGAAGGCCTTTGGGTGGATGGAGTGCCAAAATGTGGGACCCTGTCTGATTTTGGGAGAGATGGCGCACCAATGCCTGCAAAATATCAGATTCCAAAGGTACAGCGTTGCTTCTGACTGTTACAGCCATGGATCAAAATTAAATTACACGACTAATTACATTACACTGCTTACATGACATAATCATATGAGCACTGACAACAAAGCCCTGTTCCATTTGTACTACTGTGCATGAAAGCATGCACTTATCTTCTATTTTCAGGTACACCTGATCGATACTCAGCTGGTTTTAAGGGAAGCCGAATCAGCTTACCTTGGCCGGTTCTGATAAACAACAAGAGGATCAAGAGCAAGTTTCCACTTCACCGCATGCTTGCTGATAAAGAATAAAAAAAAAAAAGCATAATGGGTTCGCAGCATGTATCCATTTTGTCACAGATTATTTGTCCTTGTCAGAGGGGCAAAATCCTTTAATCATCCATTAATGTGACAAATTTATCTGTTGCCAATGCCAATTAAAAGTGTTTAGATAATAGATCATAAAGGAAAAAAAATGCCTCATCAGATTTTTTATATATATATATATATATATATATACCTCTTAAGATTGAAAACATTATATTGGATGACTTCATAAAAATATGAGCACACAATTGAAAGAGATTGTCATATGATAAATTCAGTATTACACATCCATCTGTTTGTCATATGGTGTCTGATCACACATTAGCCTTGAGTGTGTAAATCCTTGTGAACTTGTAACTAACACACAAGCCGCTTTGTTCTGTTTATAGTTTGTGTAGTTGTCCTAAGAATAAAACACTAGTCCTAACAACCAGTCTGTAAGAGGATGATATTTTGCTATGTTTACCACATCTAAACCTTGAAAAATACTACTGCTTCTCAAAGAAATACAAAAAGATAAAATTTCATATTATTCTATATTCATCGCACATGCAGTGATATATTTCACTACATTTCTTTTTTTCTTAATTTTGGTGATTATGAAATATAGATGAAAATCAAGAATCCTGTATCTAAAATTATTAGAATATTTAATTTAGAGTTTGAGTAAATTACTATTCAAACAGTATAAATACAGTGTATCTCACGGTTTAGTTCAATACCACCAACCACAATCATGTGGAAGACTGCTGACTTGACAGTTGACTAGATGATGATGATCATCACTGCGCATGAACACAGGAAGTCATTGCTGAAAAGGCTGGCTGTTCTCGAGAGTGCTTCATCACAGGATTTAAAAAGTTGACTGCTAGTGTGGCAAGAAAGGGTGCAAAAAAGATAATCACACCTTTGAGAGGATTGTCAAAAACAGCTGACTCAGGAAGTGATATTCAGGCACTCCTGAAGCAGAGACATCACAAATGTCTTACCTCGGCTAAAGATGAAGAACTGAATTTGCTCAGCGGTCCAAAGTTCTCTTTTAAGACGAAAGCAAATGTTGCATTTTGTTTGCAAATTACAGTCTTAGAGGTTTGGAGGAAGAACTGAGATGCGCAGACTTCATAGTGTCTGAAGTCCAGTGTGAAGTTTCTGCAGTCTGTGGTGATTTGAGGTGCTGTATTATCTGCCGCTGTTTTGGTGTGTCCCCTGTGTTTTACATCAACTCCAAAATCAACACAGATGTCTGCCAGGGTTTTCCAGTGCTCTGCATGCTTCCATCTGCTGACAAGCTTTAAGGAGATGCCAATTTTCTTTTCCAGCAGGACTCAGCCCCTTCCCACGGAGTCAAGCATTCTACTACAAGGTGTGCTGACTCTGCCGTTACTGTGTGCAAGTGGTCAGCCAACTCAGGAGACTGGATTTCAGATTTTCATGAGCTACAAGCCATACTCATCAAAATTAAAACAAAACAAAAAAAATGCTTAAAATGTCACTCTAAGTGTAATATGTTTTCCCCTTTAGAAATACAAAAAAACAAAAAACTTTTTCATTATATTTTAATTTTTTAGAATTCACTAGCAACTGGATTATGGCCATCTATCAATGTTCCAGCTGCTTAAGTAAACACATCTCTGACCACATTTGGACTACAGCCTCACATAGACTCTTAATTCAAAATAATCACTTTTTATGTTAAAAACACAATTGGAAAGCTCTCAGTATGTACTTCAAGACTGAATCACAAAGGCAAAATGCCAGTTCAGAATATGTGAGTGCTCAGACTCTTCAAAATACAGCACTAACAATTAATATTAACGTTACGTTTCCAGCAGAGATCCCAATGAGATTATAAAGCTGTGTTAGTGTGTATAAAAATGTCAGCAGTCTAAGGCAAACAGATAGGACTAAGCTCTTTTTCATACATATACTGCATAATTTTCTAGATAATCTAGTGTGTGATAACACAAATGTCTGGCTTGCTCTGACATTAGAGGCTCTTTATCCTGCCAGCTCCATAGTGCAAAGTCTGTGTAATATAAGGACAGAACATCTATCTATTGGCAAGTCAGCATCCTCACGAAGCCCAAACCAGACTCTCCACACGCAGTCACGTTTTTTGATTTTTGCTATGATCGTTAACTTTTAACATCACTTTGTGAAAAGGTGTTTATTTGAACACCACAGCCTGTGCAAAACGAGACAGCAAAACATACTGAAGTTGTACTGTAAGTTGTGCAGCTGATTAGTCGACACAAATGGAGAGCATTCTGAATGCAAATGGTGAACATTTAAAAAAACAAAAACAATAAGACCGTGTAAATAAAGGGTTAAATACACGTGGTTCACATGGTAATATACATAAACAAATGAAGTATTCACTGACAGACGGTTAAATAAATACAGCAGGCAGCAACAGACAGGATTCCAGGTTACTGTTCAGACATCTCTCCCATACCGTTGGAGATCAGTGAGGCAGCTACCACTGTTAAGACTTTCCGATTTCAAGCTACATGCAGCACGGCGGATATACGAGTTCACAGTCAATCAAGTGTGTTTTCTAAAAAATACAACTGTTCTTCACAAAATAAGTTTCACAATAAAGAGTGAGATTAATCTTCATTCCTGTAAAAACCATAGAAGCCAATAACGAGGCTTCTGACTTGGAGAATTCCCAAAGGGGTCACGAGTTCCAACACAGATGTGCATCAGCTGGACCCGACTATGGGAAATGTGAGCTTGGCGACTGCAAGATGGAAGATTCTCCTCTGTTATCAAGCTCGTTCTGTAGCCTGGTGAGGTTGGAGAGCTCCTCCAGCTCCTCAAACTGTCTGTCAGTCTTGTGGCTCACCAAGGAGCGATAGAAATGCACAGCGAAGACTATGAAAACCAAACCAAAGGGCACCATGATGGAGGTGGAGGTAATGGCAGCAGCCACTCCGGAGGAAACTGTGCTGTTGCTGGATTTGTTGGGCTTGATGGGCAAAAACTTAACCCAGCAGAGTAGAACCACCTCTGCCAGGAAGAGCAAAGTACCAATGACTGTGGAAAACGCCCACGCCAGCTCAATGTGCCTGTGCATTCGCTCATGTGGGGACTCCTTCACCGAGTTGAGATTGTGGACGTTGCTCACGGCCTCTATGTTGGGTAAAATGCAGGTGCTGACCATCAGAGCGAACAGGTGAACGGCTACGAGCACAGTGGTGCAGGCACTGAAGGCAATAAGGAGGGCAGGTGGGTAGGGGTAGCTGTTGTCCAGCTGCACTTCTACCATAGCCACCTGAGAAGACGGAAGGAAACAGGAAACACAACGTTACAACACAGGTCAGTAATGTCCTCTAACAGATTCGGAAGAGTGCCAGTGCTTGCCAGGAGACCGTGTTACCATAGCAAATCCAGACAGCAGAGCCGAGGTCCGACTGGAAGCCTTCAGTTTAGCTCGACTCAGGTACAGCTTTCTCCAGGACAGCGCTTGCAGGGAATGCTCGTTCAGACTCATACTGCGACACTTAGCAAAAACACTCTGTTACTTAAAAAAGGACAGCGTACACTTACACAGCATTTAACCTCGCACGCTAACTGAACTGCGGAAGCAATTTCTTGTCGTTCTTCAGCGTGCCGCTGTACCGCCTGCACCTTGCATTACCCATAAGTCTGCGCGCTCCCATGGAAACATCCGCTGCTGAGCATTTGCTTTAAAAACATGGTGCTACTCATTATTAATTAGTCAGCGATAATAGTGTAACTACGGAGTTATACATGTTAGCTTGTTTCTGCCAATATAAATAAATACATACATTTTTTGAAAAAATGGCTAAAGTCACATTTTGCCGGTACTTACTCAACCGTATGAGTAAATAACTCGAAAATTGAGGAAGTATTTGGAAATTCGAGATGTTAAGTTGAAATTTTGAGAAAATAACCGGAAAATTCAGCTTAGCTACGCTTAACGGAGGCTTGTTTCCGCCATTGATTTTTTTTAAATAAATAAATAAATAAATAAATAAAAATGATGCCAGGCAGAGGTAAGTTCAAATTCGGAGTTATTATCTCAAAATGTTCTCAGCGCTTTAAGTTGGTAAGTCAAAATTTTGAGTTAACCTATAATTTCGACTGAGCTACGTTTTACGGACCCTTGTTTCTCCCAGTGGAAAAAAAAGTAGAAAATAAAAATAAAATGATGCCGGGGAGAGGTGAGTCGATATTTGGAGTTATCTAAAAAAAATTGAGTAACTCAAAGAGAAAAAAATATGACTTAACAGTTTCGAGTTATGAAATTAAAAAATTTGCAACAATAACCCCAAATTTCGAATTAACTCTGTACTTTCCTCGCACTAGAGAAAAAGGAGAAAAAAAAAACCCCCTGATTGAATAGCTTGAAATTTCAAGCTATTTAGTTAACATTTTAAGATAATAACTTTTTTTTTTTTACATTTTATCTTATTTTTCAGCGGTGGAAACAAGCTTATTAGAATTGCACGTGTAAAACTTATAAACAAGGAAATAAAAAATAAACTTTTTAAGTTAAATGTACCGTTCTTTATAGTTTAATAAAAGTGAGTAAATATACCTCCTTTTTATTGCTTGATGTTTAAAATAGATATCAGCGCTATTCGATAACAGGGGGTTTAACCAGTATTAGTATCATTTTCCCCCCCACTACTACAATAAAACCGTGTGACGTGGGGAATGTTTATTGTTGGTGAGCGCGGTTAAAAGCGTACTGACATGCCGTGACGTTGTCCAACAATGTTTTGGTTCCTGGCGGTGACGTAATACACAAAAACATGGTTCCCTTGTTTTGAACCCGTAAAGCGTGCTAAGTGTTTTCTCTCAACTTCGCCACGCACGGAGATGCATTCGCGAAACTGAGTGGCCGGAAAACAATCGTAAAAGACGATGGCTCAGGCCGCAGAGACGTGTGCTGAATCCGGACGCAGGCTGGTGTGTACCATCTGCCGTGTTAAATGTTAGCTTATGAGGCGAGACTGGCAGCGAGCTAATTAGTTAGCTAAGCTAACCCTCGCCACTGTGAGCGTTGGGATATTTGTCAAGTCACTTAAGATGTCCAAGTTTAAGTAAAACGAGGAAAAACGGCTAACTGTCGCATTTTAGAGTCTATAACTTCTTTTCTGATCGCAGTAGTTGAGCGAGCGTAGCGTAATTAAAACGAGATAAATCAATATCTGGAGCAGCGGAGTCGAGCAAACATTTTACAATCGCTTCCATAAAATATCACAAACAGCTGGCTTAGTAGTTTTTGCACTGGTTCACACATTCAAAGAAATGACTGCTGTTATAGTACTATCAAAACTTTAGCACAACCCACTGCTCCAGTTTGAAAGTCACACGTAAAATTAACGATCGGTTCCCTCACACGAGTCACAATGACCGTTCAAGGGGGGCAGAAAGTGGCCTTTTGGGGTAGAAAGAGTTCTCTCTTTCCGCGTGGCTCTGTTTTTGTCTTGTAAAACATCTCGTTTTCAATGGCAGCGCTCCATCTCCCGGACGATGTACGACGAAAACGAGGACCTGTCTGACGTGGAGGAAATTGTAAACATCAGAGGGTTCAGCGTGGAGGAAAAGGTCCTCAGTGACAGCTACAGCGCAGACTTTGTCCGGGTGATGGAGGGTAAAGGTAAAGCAGCACGGTGCATATTAGCTTTCTTATAGGTTACATGTGACTGCAGTAGTTTTCAAATAATTGCTTTGGACCTAAATGTAAAACTACTGTCTTGCAGACTTCACTTATGAGTATGTGCAAAGGGAGGGTCTAAGGATCCCTCTCATTTTTAAAGAGAAAGATCAATTAGGGATCAGGTGAGAAACCTTTCCTTTAAATGTGCAATGCCTGTGCACATGCTGTAGATTCAACCTACTTTCTATTTTATTTGTATATATATTTATGGTTTTAAGTCTTTGGGAACTAAACAACATGCATCCCTTTCCTATAAATATGCAGAATGCCAGATCCAGAATTCACAGTCAGTGAAATTAAAGGACTAGTTGGTAAGTAGACACCGATGCACACACATGCATATTTTTACCCGTGCATATACTTATTACTCTTAGCCTGTGTGCAAACACGACCAAAGTATATCTGCATCTTCTTCAGAGAATAAGGGCTTTTGCATTGTTGTAAAAAAAACAACCAAACAAACCCCAAAACAGTCTGTGATATGGTGAGGCTCCATGCTGACTTAAAAAAATGTAATGAAGTCGTGTTTCATGGTCAAATTTCCTTTTAATTTAATTTATGATGAAACATGTTCAGTCTGCACTAACTATGACTAGACATGTGGGAAGTTTCAGGATAATGAGTAGCTGTTTTAGTTTTGTCACAACAATTTGCTAATTTTATCTGATATTATAGAAATTGCTAACTTGAAAGATATAGTAGAAATGATTTATTTACTGATCTGCCTACCAACCATCCAAATCTAGTGGATGTTGCCGATGCCAAATGCTAGAAATGGACATAAAAAATAGAAGTGAACGTCAAAAAAAGTCACATTTTAATCATGCATGTTAATACATCAGTGTTGTTTTTTGTATTTTTCTTAGGAAATAAGTTATTTAGTGAGCATGCATCTGTTAGTCACTCTGCTGTATGCCTGTATCTCTGTCTGTGTCTACCTCTTGTACTATTGTGTTATGTGTGTAGGATCATCACGATAGGTTCACCCAGGGCCTCTTGCTCATATTGTGGGGTTATGTTAAAGGTCTCATCATGCTGTTTTCTGTTTGCGACTGTTTTCCAATGCAGTGCAATATAATTATGTTAAGTGTGCCCTGGAAGAAATTGAGCCAGGGTATGATTGGGGTGTAATTGCCCCATCTAGTGGTTAAATTTGGGAATTACAAATAAGAAGTACTGCTCTTGTTCATAGTAGAATATTTTGCAACAGTACAACTTCTCTGTGTATAAATATGACAAAGCATACGCCGACTCACAGACAGACTGCACTGGATTGTGTGTTGATGTTGATGCGTACGATCTCATTGGCTAAATTCATCGTATCCTGGTTGTTTTTCGCAGGCAGTCGCCGGTCTGTGGACGTTATGGATGTGAGCACTCAGAAAGGTTCTGAAATGAGCATGGCTCAGTTTGTCCGCTATTATGAGACGCCAGAGGAAGAGCGGGACAAACTGTTCAATGTCATTAGCTTGGAGTTCAGCCACACCAAGCTGGAGAACCTCATCAAGCGTCCCACAGTGGTAATCTGCCCCCGACCCTCGCTGTGTATCATACTATAAGAGGTTTGATAGAGGTCACAAATCTGGTGATAGATTCAAAGAAGAATGACAAAAATAGAAGATGATAGAACACTGTGATTGGTTGCTGAATGGTGCTGCTTTGATTGCTCTTATAGGTGGATCAAGTGGACTGGGTGGACAACATGTGGCCTCCTGGTTTGAAACAAAGCCAAACTGAAGCCACCAATATCATCTCAGAGATGAAATACCCCAAAGTGCAAAGGTATGCATTGCACTGTTGTGCTTTTGTTTTTATGAAGTTCTCTTTGGAGCTGTGTGTCAGTCTACGAGGGGTGAAAAAAAACTGTGTGTAGAGCAAGAAAATAAATACTAATAAAAAGAAAACACTTGTAGAAAATGTCTGTTTTCCTCCCATCTCTCATCCATCGCTCCATCACGGTAGAGTACTGCATACTGTCACCTCCTGTACGTGCTCCTTGTTGTTGCTAGGCAGCAGGATTTTTTCCCCCCTCCTCGCATAAGAGAAAGGTTTCTAACAACTGTGGTCTGACTGCACACACACACCTCTCAGCCAATCAGCCGTTGAAGAGTCAAAATGAATCAAAACCAGGGCTGCCTGTCTTTTTAATGTCAGCTGCCCATATTTTCTACTGTTACACTTAAACCCTGCTAATCTCCTGTATTGTTCATAGAGGTTAGGGAGATGCTGGCAGTGGTTTAGGGTGTAACAGAGTAGAATATCAAACAAGACGATTTTACTGCTGCAATTTCAGCACACTGTGCAGAAGCTAGTTTAGAATCTATTACTCAAAATAAAGCCATTTTCAAAACTGAAACATTTCAGTCATCTGTACTCTTGTATTTTTCCCTTCAGCACACTCACTGGTGTCTCCTTTGCCTAGAGGCTTCACTTTAAAATTGTTAATCTAGTATACTGTTGCATGAAGACACATCCCATGTTGTTTCTCACCTCCTGTTCTATTTAATTGGACACCAGCTTTTTGTTAGGTACACCTGTTCAACTGCTCATTAACACACAAATATCTAATCAGCCTGCTGATGTTCAAACAGGTGACATAAGTGACTTTGAACGTGGCATGGTTGTTGGTCCCAGACTCGCTGGTCATATGAAAATGTTGATTTACTGCACAGCCAACCCATCCAGGTTGCTTTGAGTTGATACGAAGGCAACAGAAGCTCAATCAACTTCTTGTTACAGCCAAGTTATGCAGAAGAGCATCTCTGAATGCATATCTTGGACTACAGCAGCAGAAGACCACACTGACATTTTTAAGATGGGGTCAGACCAACATGAAAGCATCCATCCTTCCATCCATCCATCCATCCATCCATTCATCCTGCATTGTATCAGTGGTTCAGCCATCTTCTAATGGCTGCTTCCTGCAGGATAATGTGCCAGATCACATAGCTCAAACTGATTTTCTTTTAAACATGACATTGATGTCACTGTACTCAAATGGCCTCACATCAATATGAACCAACATCTGAACTGGAATGACTGACTATTCGCTTTATAATTTCAAATAAAGTTCAGAAAAAGAAAAAAAAAAACAGGAAAAAAACCAAAAACAATATGAACCGACATCTGAGGTATGTTCCCAGCACCTTGTTGAATCTATTCCATGAAGAATTAAACCAGCTCTGAAGGCATAACGGGGTCCAGCCGAGAACTAGTGAGGTGAAACTCGTGATATAGCTGTGGAGCGTTAAATTTTTTATTATTGTTGCAGTGAAAGCTACCCTGGATATGCTCTCATTTATGATTCACTATGAACTCAGTCTTCTTTCATGCGGTGATAACACACAAGTCTTTAAATTAAAAAGCTGTGAAATAGTCAATAATGATGTCAGGATTTTTATTTTTTTTTTAATTTTGGCTTAGCCGTTTGACGGATGGTTCAACTGGCAAAATTCAAGCTTCTTTTTATTTGTGAAGGTGTTAGATTCTCTCTCAGTGGCATTCACAGTATCATCGTGTGCAAGATGTCCTTGGAAGGGCTTTCCTTTAAATGTCTCCAAGTCAGTGGGGATTCTCTTAGAGATTATACTCTTTAGCTAAATTGGCAAATCATTTGTGTCTTGGGGTTCTAATCATTCCTAAATTAATTTCTAGAGGAGAATTGCCTTATTGTGAAGTGTTTTCTACGCTGTGTCGCTCCCGAGAGTTACCTGTGTCGGTAGCATCCTGAGATTATTGCTGCCTTGTAATTAGCCATGTTGTGTTTACCACTTTTTTCTGTTTACCTATTTACTTCTTGTCTCTTAGATGATTTTCTAATTTCCTTTGTAGGTATTGTTTGATGAGCGTGAAGGGCTGCTACACAGATTTCCACATCGATTTTGGGGGAACTTCAGTTTGGTATCACGTATTCAAGGGACAGAAAGTAAGTTTATTCTTTCTTTGTAAAGCTTGGTTGCCTCTTTAGGATATACTGATCACACCTACGAAGACGTCTGCTAATATTCCTCAAAGCTTTGAATGTTGTTAACAGTTACAGACTCTAAGTAGAAATGACTGCTTCTCCTCAGGTGTTCTGGCTTGTGCCTCCAACTCCCTATAACCTTGCCCTGTATGAGGACTGGGTCCTGTCAGGCAAGCAGAGTGATGTCTTCCTGGGAGACCGAGCTGATGGATGCCAGAGAGTGGAGCTTCAACAAGGATACACCTTCTTCATCCCATCTGGTGTGTTGGCATGGTTGTCTTAAAGTAGCCAGCAGGAATAGATTAGGCTCCGTTAATGCTCAGCTTTGAATATTTGACCATTTTATAACACATTTAACTCTCTGTAATTAAGGGTGGATCCACGCTGTCTACACTCCCGTGGACACACTGGTGTTTGGAGGCAACATTCTGCACAGCTTTAACATTCCTATGCAGCTTACCATCTATGAGATAGAGAACAGGACAAAGGTAGGAGTCTATTTTCTCCAGTTTGTGGCTTAACTCTGATCTGGACTGCAATATAGTAAACTCCACGTGGGAGAAATTAATCTCTCTGAGAACCAGGGGAAGGTGAAAAGTTTACCCTTGAGAGAGACAGGAGAATAAGAGGTGTGGGCATTTGCAAAACTATTTTTTGGATAAAGTAACCCTTTCTTGGGTTCTTTCTATATTTTACTTGCGTTGTGCATTAACATCTTTGTGGCTATCTTTTTCCACTTCCTGTTAAATGTGAGCTGGTCTGCTGGGATTACAGTTGCATTACTGAGAATTCTGCATAGCCTCTGACTGTCAGAGCACAAGATACTGCTACAGATAGCAGCCGCCTCGTTCCTTATACCGGTAGTCCTTTATAGTTTGACTTACGCTTTAAGCTGTTTTTTATATGCATTAAAGCTTTTGTGGTAATGGAAGACCAACTTTGTTTTAACCTTACTTAAATGACCAATCATTGAAAGCATCCATTTGAGATTTTCATTTACTTTTTAATGGTTCTTTAATTGAATCTGTCATTTTTAATTTTTTTTTTTTTGTCATCCCTTCAGGTTCATTCCAAGTTTCGTTTCCCCTTCTATTATGAGATATGCTGGTATGTCCTGGAGAGATACCTGCATTGCCTTACCAAACGGTCCTACTTTTCTCAGGAGATCCGTAAAGAATCTATGGGTGAGTGAAAAACCTCAATTACGGCACCAAAGTAATTGCACTCTATACCTCTTTGTGACCAACAACCACCAGCAACTGCTCGCCGGCTGGTTGGGTAATACATATTTTTCCCTAGCGACATGTGGTTGCCGGGGAGGGGAAGGGGCACTGACTGGAGCCTAACCCAGCTGGTATGTCACAGGAAGTCACTTTAGATCAAACTTGAATGTTTCAGGGGTTTGGATGTGTTGTTGTTGCTTTGTTATATGTGCTAACCTACAAATTGACCCATAATTTCAGGATTACTAACAGGTGCTCCCCAAACTAGAGAAATTATTTGCTCATTGGTATGCCCGTTATCAAAACATCCATTATAGGAAATCTGCTTTCATCCCTGCAGATTTTGAGACAAAGTCAAAGACAGAAAGCCCCTCCTCTGACTCCAGGAGTCAAGACATGAACGAGGACTCGTGTGGGACTCATGTCAGAGATGAGCAGGGTGAAAAACTAGAGAGAGTTCCTCAGGATGGACCCTGCACACCTGACAATGGGAAGGGCCAACATCTCAAAGCTGTTTTATCCATCGACTCTGAGGACAGCTGTAACCCCAGCTCGGCCTCTTTAGATTTCCCTAAAACTCCTTCAGACTCTCCGAACTCAGAGCCTCAGAATAAATGGATTCATTTAACAGAGTTTGAACTGAATGGGCTAAGGACGCTGATTGAAAAGCTCGAGTCACTCCCGGAAAATAGGAAATGTATTCCAATGGGAATAGAGAACCCCCAAGCGCTGTTGGATGACTTAAAGGTAAAAAAACCAAAAAACCAAACATGTTTGCGGCATGCCTTCAGATTACTTAACAGACAGGAATCATAGTTCGGCCCTATTTTGATTTTGTTCTCTGTGCCCGTCTAGGTTGTCTTAAAGGAACATACTGATGATGACCCTAAATTAGCCATCACTGGATATCCTGTGGTGTACTGGCCTAAGAAAACCATAAAGGTAAGAAAGTGTCACCTGCAATACATCTGTTTTCCAGCAAATATAGTGTTTTTACTTAATTTTCAGGCACTTGAGAATCATTTTATGTGCTGCATACCTGTGTAGTACAAAGCTTATGCACCTTTTGCTTAAATTTGTGGTGCAAGCAACATCACTGAGTATATTTTAAATAGATATTTACCTATCAATACAGGTGTGCATATTTTATATATTTCTTTACCTATGTTATACAGGTACATATCTGGTACAGGACAATTATTAATGGCTAAGGTCCTGTCTTCCCTCACTCATCCCACCACTCACTGCACTCCTTCCCTTTAGCAGGAGATTTAACAGTTTGCATAATTTTGTCATAACGGGCTGCAGTATTGCCTAATGAAGTAAATGATGAGATATTTTTGCTCCTCTGCATAATTTGACATGTGTTTTGTTGTCATTAATGCTTTTTGGTGTGCCTTCCGAATCCAAAACAAGCCTTTAGTGTCCATAAAAACATTGTTTACTAAGAGCAGAAATTATATGGCATGTCTCACCATGTCACAGCCTTCGCGTTTTACGTTGGGGGGACTAAATATTTACAGAGATCCAGAAATATTGCCCTCGCTAGCCTTTTTGCTGTCATATGTTTTGAGTGGTGTCGAGTTCCACAAATGCGGTGTTTCGCATTTGTTCGAAACACCGCGATGCGGTTCATTTGAAATTGTGATATCGTAAGACGAAAATGGTTGTTGATGTCAGAAGGCTCGAAGTGCATTTGATGTCATGTTACCTGAGTTTCTCTAGCCGTGAGCTGAGCAGCAGACTGTGAGGTCATAATTGAGGCTTTTCATTTATTATCCAAATATAACAACAACAACAAAAAAAACATGCTCCTTAATATCAGTACAATTCTTATCTCACTCACGGTGTAACATAAGCTATCCCAAAACAAATCAAAATGTGAATAAATGGCTTTAATCAGTGTGATGGTTGCAATTTTAATTAGAAGTGTTTAAATATGCCACGGTGCTGCTCTATTTTAGTCGCTGAATATGTGTGATTAAAAATGTATCCAAACAAACACACAAGACATCGGAGCCTCAGCTGAAAGTTTAAGAATGAGATGTGCTTTACAGGAATGCATGAAAGTGAAGTTTGTATGGGTCTTACAAACCCTCAGGATCTCCCCCACCGGGCTCTCCAAAGGCCAGCTGCTGGTCGTGGGGCCTCTTTGTGTTTGCCTTTTGTAATGAGATGCCATCTGGCTCTGGCTGTGCAGAGCCTGCTCTCCTCTCCCTCTGCTACTCATCATAAATATGATAATACCTTTACTGCATTTTCTCTCCACATTGGATGGAGGCAGACTCCCCCCGAGTGCATATTCTGATTCACAGCAGCCTCCCATTGGCTCTGCGCTGCCCAGCACCCCCTCCTCTTCCTCAGTGAGTCGATCCATATTAATGAGGCAGGCTTGTATGTGTTTCCTACATCTGCTTGTGGTATTGTGGAGCTTTTGGAGCAGGAGGGAGGGCTATAGGCCTGACAGCAGTAGCAGGAGGAGGAGGAGGAGGAGACTGCAGCCATGTCAGTTTGCTGTAAGCTGGACGGTATCTGAAAACCAGCCATGGCCATGTCGCTGAGCGCCGATGATGAGGACTACGACTCAGACTCCGAGCAGGTTAGCACCCTAAAAGCCCTGCAGGCAGGCGTAAGGAGGCCGCCAGAGGAATGCTTGTGTGAGACAGAGCAGTGTGCAGCATCACAGGGCAGTGAAGTAATGGAGATACCTGAAGACAAAAGCACTGATTCAGTTTATCTTCTGTGCTTGGGCTTTGATTTTCTATTTTATTTTTTTGCCTTTGTTTTTATTTTTTTTGCTTCTTTTTTTGTGGTAGATTTGTTGTTTGTGCGTGCGTGCGTGCTTGCATTTTTATTATCAGATAAATCCAGCAATAGGAGCTTCTGTTTATGTAGCTCGAGGTTGCTATTGGTTGTGTGAAGATGCAGGAGCTGAATCTCTAACGGTTTTATTGTAAACCTATCGATTGATATCAGAATACATGTCATGGTAAACCAAAACAAAAGGGGAAGGTTTTTCTTTCAGTGTGCGTTAATGAAAAGACATAATTTTTTGTGAAAACGTTAGAAGATGGGACTTGCACGGAAATTGTTCATTCAAATATTTTCCCCCCTACACTCTTTACTCTGAACCACACCCCCCTTACATTAAGCCTGTGCCTGCATTTAGATTAAAAAAATGCTGACTGCAGATGAATGAGTCAATTCTGCTCTGCTGACAGATATTAAAAAGGCTTTTTCCCCCCTCCAAGTTTTATCCCAAAGTTCAACTATTCAAACATCTTTGGGATGTATTACGTCCACAGCAGGTTGTATAACTGTTAAATCACTGCGTTGCTCCAAAGCATAGCAGTTCAACTTCAACCTGAGCAACTTGTGAAATATCACTGCCCGATTATCTGCTTGTGCTGTGTGGTCTCAATATCTCCGATACATGCTCTGTATATATGGAGATTTTAAAACTGATTGACATTGTAATTGATCTCCATTGAAAAGTTTACTTATCTATATCCCCTTGAAGAGAAATTGTGAATACCAGGAACCATTATTGCATCAGAGCAACGTGAACGTGGTGTGTTTATGTCAGTGCAGAGTTTAGATCATCACAGTGTTCCATGTATTACTGCTGTCAGCTATCTGATTGTGAAGTTTGCCATATTGTGTGCAGTGTGTGTTCGTGTGTGTGCTGTCTTCACTGTAATGATGGGTATCTTCCTACTAGCTCAGGGCTGTGTCACTGAACATAAGGGTCTGCTCCTCATAATGTTTTCCAGCTGAATGAGCTCTGTAGTGCTAAGAAATCACTAGCGGGTCACCCGTGCTGTCCTTGTTACTGCACAAAGGGGACAAATGTGCATCCTTCTTGCTGTAAAAAGGCACACGCTACATAATACAGATTTCATTGGCTGCTTTTCCTGAAACATGCTGATGAAGGCTTAGCTGCCACCGGTGACATATTTTCTTGTCAGGAGTTCTTGGATATCATTGCACAAAAACATGAGCAGATACAGGGAGTACTTACTGAGATTTAAGGGAAGTTGGTTGTCTTTGGTGATGTTGCTGTTGCCAGCCTTTCCTGTGATTGAAAATTGTGTGTCAGAAGGATATCTGCTTTAGAGATCACCCCACTTATCTGTCTGCAGGGAGGGAGCAGAGTTGGAGGGGGAATTGGTGGAAAATATAGACTACAATCCAAAACCTGCCTCCTTGTGGTTCATGTCACAGGCATAAACAAACATGAATGGAGGCAGTGTTCCTGCACGGCCCGGTTACTTGTTGTTTCATGTGAATCTATTGCAACTTCAGCCCATCAGCTGACACTTAAAATGGCAAAAGCTGAGTTGCAGAACATCATGTGTGTTGTTTTGCTGGGTAATCTGGTCTCATTTCATTGTTTCTTCTCTTCTTAATCCCACCCCCTCCCCAACCATCCCATCCTACACACACACACACACACACACACACACACACACACACACACACACACACACACACACACACACACACACACACACACACACACCCACACACCAATATCTCCCGCTAATCCTGTCTGGTCACCACATATCTGACTGCCTATGTCAGTCAATTCTGTGGCTATTGTTGGAATAAATTATTACAATGTGCGCAAGACAGAGCCTACTTAATTTTTTTTCTTTTTTTTTTTTGTGTTAGATGGTCTCATTACAGTTCTTATTGGTTACAAGTCCGTGTGTCATAGACTGTTCTGTTAGGGAATGGGACGTGGCTGTTGCTATGCTGACACTAGGAAAATCTGCACTGCCGATGTAACTAAAGAAATCCGATCTTCATTTCCAGGAGCTGCAGTGTTTTGCACTCCTCGTTCATGTTTATTTCATTTCACACACTCCACTCTTTTTATTTTTGATTTTTTTCTTCATGTGGCACGGCTGGCAGTGTTTTGACTTGTGGTTTTCATGTTAAAAATACATTGTTGTGGTGGGGATGTGAGCCCGAGGGGGTGGGGGCAAAATATATATATATATATATGACACAAGAAAAATAATGATGCTGATCAAAGACTCCCTCATTTCAATTGGCCACTTCTGTTAAATAGAGCACATTTAATAACGCGCACGGCTGTAAATCATGGAATAATAGATCCTAGTGATCCATGTGTGAAATGTAGCCATAAGTGTAGCTCCTCTTTGAAGTAGAAACATGCAAGCAATTGAGGTGCTAAATTTGGAAGACGCCTCCAGGGATGTTTTTGATGTGTTTGTTTTCTCTCGTACTCTGAGCTATACCAGGCGTGAATAATGTGTTTATGCGCAGCATGTTTCGATCAGGTTTGTGGATATGTGTTATGTGCTGTTTTTGCGTATATAAATGCAGGTGTTTTTTTTCCTTTTTGCTTTCGTCTGCGCCTGGAAATCTTGACCCAGAGATGGGGGGGAAACAAAGAAGAGTCCAGGCAGTACTTTAGACGTCAGCTGTAGCACCAACCGCAGCTGGATTTAATAGCCTCTTTTTTTGTTTTTTTTTGTTTTTTTTTGTTTTTATGTAACATGATTGTAAGTGTGCTCTAAAAGGGCCGCTCGACTGCAGAGCTTCATTATTAGAATGTAGATAATCAGTCATCAGAATGATGATAAACATGTACAGCGGTTTGTTATTAACAATGCAAACCAAAGGTAGTGAAAGCTAATGATGCGAGTACTTTGCCAATGACATCCTAATTGTTATATTAATTAACTGCGCTGCGCTGCATCCCGCTGCGTGCTTAACATGTACTTGGTGAATATTTTGAACATTCACTCTTTGCCAACACATGACTCTATCTGACCTTTAAGTGCATACTTGTTGGCTTATCGTTACTGATGCACCGCACTTTGTCCTTCTCACCGTTTTGTCTTTCTTGGGGCGATCGTGGCCCAAGAGTTGGCAGTTCGTCTTGTAATCGGAAGGTTGCCGGTTTGAGCTCCGGCTCCGACAGTCTCGGTCGTTGTGTCCTTGGGCAAGACACTTCACCCGTTGCCTACTGGTGGTGGTCAGAGGGCCCGGTGGCGCCAGTGTCCGGCAGCCTCGCCTCCGTCAGTGCGCCCCAGGGTGGCTGTGGCTACAATGTAGCTTGCCATCACCTGTGTTTGAATGTGTGTGTGAATGGGTGAATGACTGAATGTAGTGTAAAGCGCTTTGGGGTCCTTAGGGACTAAGTAAAGCGCTATACAAATACAGGCCATTTACCATTTCTTTTTTCCTTTTTCTTTTTTTTTCCTTAGCCCCGGCCTCCCAACCGGCCAAAACCTAAGATGGCAGCATCTCCCGCATCAGCGGTCAAGCTGTCGGCCAGCCGGGGTACATCTGGAGCCAGGAGGAGACGGACACGCTGTCGGAAATGCGAGGCGTGTCTGCGGACGGAGTGCGGAGAGTGTCACTTTTGCAAAGACATGAAGAAGTTCGGCGGGCCGGGACGCATGAAGCAGTCCTGCATCATGAGGCAGTGCATTGCTGTAAGTATGATGTGTGTGAGTGAACTTTTGTGTGGTGTAGTCATCAGTGTGGGCAGCACGGTGGTTAGCAGTGTTGGGTCGCAGCAAGAAGGTCCTCAGTTCGACTCCACCATCTGGCCGGGGCCTTTCTGTTTGCATGTTTTCTCTGGGTACTCTGGCTTCCTCCTATAGTACAAAGACATGCAGTTAGTGGGGTTAGGTTAAATGGTGATTCTAAATTGCCCGTAGGTGTGAATGTGAGTGTGAATGGTTGCCTCTCTTACTGTTTTAGCCCTGTGCAGGATTGGTGACCTGTCCAGGCTGTACCTTGCCGTATGGTAGCTGGGATAGGCTCCAAGCCCCCTGTGATCCTGAAAAGGATAAGCAGAAGAGGATGGATGGATGTACTCCTAAGTGTGCCTGATTTAGGCTTCTGCAGGAAATTTACTTATGACCTATCTTAGCCCTACGCCGTGACCTGACATGTAGTTAAATTTCTCGGGAGATAGATGTCAGGGTACGTGGAAGGTTATGCCGCAGGGTTAAAAGAGGGTAGATTTCCTGCTGAAGTATAGTTCGGGCATTAATTTTGACAGCAATTTCGATGTAGTTGTAGTCTGTTGACTAAAAGGTCATTTAGTTTTAGTCATAAGTTAGGCATCTAAATTCTTATAGTTTTATTAGACTAAATATCATTATAGTAGGCTAAATCTGAAGCTCATTCAGTTGATTAAAATATAAAGTGTAAATGTTGGGCTGTGAGGGTTCGCTCAGCACGGTTTACAAAGCTTCTCATCTTTGAGATCAAATGTGAAGAGCTTCCACATATCTGCTCTTTTCTTGTTCCGAAGCGTTGACATGTTGTCGCGTTTTCGTTAGAAACAGGAAGCATGGATGCTAGCTGAATCCTTCCTTACACAATTACAAGGAGATTACTTCTCATTGGATCACTTCCGACTTGTCCCGCCTTTCATCACAGCTTCATTATTTCTGATTGGATCTCATCTGTCCTGAGTACTTTCAACTTGTTTTGATTTGTTGTTGATTTATTCCGTTATTATCTTAATTTCATCAGGAAAAAAAGAATCTTTGAGGAAAAGTATTGGTTAACGAATTAACATTGGTTCTTGTGCTCATTGGAGAACGCACAAACAAATCGTGGTATGCTTGTTGGCTACAGGGGAACAAGCATCATAAATAGCACACATTAATGTAAGAAAAATAGAATAAAATTGGGAGAGCTGATTCCTTTCCATCACAAAAGTTCACCAAACTCATACCAGTAGAGCAGCTGTATTCACTGCTTCAAATATAGGAATCCAACAAGCAGCTCTTTCCAATTGAAAGTAATTCTCATCAGATATAGTCACTGATGCTGCTCGAAGCTCGACAACAAGTGATAATGATTGGCCTCCTGGGAGCCACATGCCTCCAGCACCTTGAAGAGCCTGAGCAGGCGTCTGCACAGCTGTGGTGACATATCTACTAGGACTCTCCACGAGTTTCATATACTTATATTCAAAATTGTTAGTTTCACATTTCCATTTCTGTTTTATATAAACGGTACTCACTGTTTTAACTTCCTGAAGTCCCTGATTGGTAACAAATTCAAAGCCTTTGGTGAAATAAGGAGGTACACCCAGTGGGTGATTCACTTAGCTTTGGATGAATACTGAAAATGAATGGAAACGCCTACATAAGCTATCTAAAACTTACTGTATCTTCTTTGTTTGATGATGAAGTTATTTAAATGTAAGTCTCTTGCATATTGGTGTCACTATCAGTGAAGAAGTCAAACCTTCTCGACAAGAAATAATTCAAGTATTTAACCTCTGATCAAACGACAGCTTGGTTTCTCTACAGATTAAACAAACAACTTCTAATGCCTCAGTGAGCTTTAAAGTACTTACAGAGCTAGGATAGCTGTTTGTTGTATCTATTGTTAGCTAAACTAAAAGTCTCAGTCACAATCACTTTATTGTCCTTGAGTGCATCTGTAGTGACATAGACCAGTGTTATCCTTTCACTCAGCAGCTGGTTCTGCTTAGCTTTATGTCCCTCGACTGTGGACCCAAGGCGTCTGCACATTAGGTTAAAGCAGAGGTGGTTCCTTTAGTCAACTTCCTTGATACTGTTTCATATTCCTGCACCAATTGAAGGGTGTTCCTCCCTCCCTAGGCAATATTTTCTGTGTAGATTCTCAGTCATCCAGGTCATGGTAGTCTTAAGCATTGAAGGAAACTGCAGTTCCTTTTAGGTTTGTGAAGGTGTTTCACGAAGCCTCTCGAGTGTGGTGAGTTCTCAGAACTGATTGAAGAGTTTCAGATGTTGGTACCACATTTAAGACAATTCTTGAGATCCTTTTCCAGGTGCTTCAGCTGTCATTCACACATTTATGTGACCTTAAACATAAAGATCCCAGGATTAGATACCACTTGATGAAGAGGTGAAACATCCTCATGAATCTATAGAAAGAAGTCCAGTTGTCTTTGACTCAAATGCTAGACCGAATGGCTCATGACCTCAATGACTGAGAAACTGAGAAACTCATAAGCCTGGCTTTCTTATAATTATTATAATTATTATAAGAAAATAGTAATTATATTATTATATAATTATAACTATAATTTATTATGTTTGGTTCTGGAGTAGCTGCCTGAATGTTTTTTTTTTTAGTTGCTGTTTGTTGTAGCTGTGTAATAAAAAAGAATGCAAGTAGCAGTATCAGATATTACCTGTTACAGTAGCATTTATATAGACGCACGGAGAAAGTGATAATGGCCTGGTCTAAATGTTTCAGTACCAAGGACAGAGACTTGTAGAGAGGCTGAGTTTGATTATTTCTGCCTTTTATATGATGAGAAGGACTGTGTTTTAATGTTTAATCATGCTAGTTAAAAGATAGCGAGAGCTGTCGGGTCTTGGGCTTTTTAGCCACCGTGACTCGTGTTTAAATAATGCAAAACATGCTTAACTCGCCCTTCATATTAACTTACTCTAACACAGATAGAGAGCAGTCATCAGAGCCAGCGATTACACACAGTTCATCAAGAGCCACTCTGTTGCTTTAGCCCATTTATTAGTTGGCTAATGTTGTTGTAAATCTGTTTGGAAGCTCACGGTAAATGATGAACTAGCTGTTAGGGCTATAACACTCTGGATTCATATGGAATATAAATGAATGAATAAATCAGGTCATTTTTTTTAAAGTTATGGGGGCAAACTTGAGCTGTCAGGCTTTTAGATCACAATTAACGGTAGCTTATACAACTCTATAAACCAGCTACTGTCTTAGCAATTAGTGAAGTCAATCTTCCATCAATATTACATTATTATTACTTTGAGGTTGCTGTGGCTCAGAGGAGATAGAGGAAGCTGGGAGCTGAAGCAAATGGCTTGATGTTGTGCGTTTGGTCCATGTGATCTTTGGGAACTGAACTCCAGATCGCCTCCAGTGAGTGATTTGTGTGTGTCTATGATGGAGAAAGTATTGGATGTATAGAATAAAACGATCTGTCTGTACGTGTGTGTAAATGGGCGACTGTTGCTTGTAGTGTAAAGTGCTTTGAGTGGTCGATAAGACGAGAAAAGAGCTATATAAATGCCAGTCAATTTACATTTTTCCATCACTCAGATTGGATTTAAAATTTTCTGGGTCCTTAGTTGAGTCATATGAGGAGTAGGCTGTTGAAAGCCATGGCAGCAAATAGTTCCAGCTCTGCTTTGTTTCACCCTTCTGAAAAAGTGTGGGTTAAATTTTGTTGTGACAAAGAATTGCTTAAAAAGACGAGTGAGCTGATGCAGAGCCTTTATCTTCTGCACTGTCTTTTCTTTGTTGTTTTTTTCTCCCTCCTCCAGCCCGTCCTACCCCACACAGCAGTGTGTCTCGTCTGTGGCGAGGCAGGCAAGGAGGACACCGTGGAGGATGAGGAAGAGAAGTTTAACCTTATGCTCATGGAGTGTTCCATCTGTAACGAGATCGTTCACCCTAACTGTCTCAAGGTGAAGACCTGAGTGTCATTCAGCTGTTGAATAATTGCTCGTTTCATGTCAAACGCTGTTTAATAGCCAGTGTGTTTCTTGTTATTCAGATTAAAGATTCAAATGGAGTAGTCAATGATGAGCTGCCAAACTGCTGGGAGTGCCCAAAATGTAACCATGCTGGGAAAACTGGAAAAGTAAGCATCAGTATGGACTTTATTCTGTGTGTGTGTGTGTGTGTGTGTGTGTGTGTGTGTGTGTGTGTGTGTGTGTGTGTGTGTGTGTGTGATGCATTTGTTAAACAGCCGAGTTTTAGTTAAGAATCTAAGAACCAGAAAAATAAAGTTGTGCTCTCTTTTTTCCTAACCTTTTGGCCTCAAAGCAAAAAAGAGGCCCAGGGTTTAAGTATGCATCCAACCTTCCTGGCTCGCTGCTCAAAGAACCGAGGTTAAACCGAGATTCAAAGGAAGAGCCAGACCTACCCATGGTGGCGCCAACACCTATTGCTGCCTTGACTACCACTTCTGCTGTGAAGAGGAAGGTGGAACGGGATGTAATCGCAAAGAAAAATGACGAGGAGCCTCCTAAAAAACGCCCCCCCTTGCTTTCTCTAGATGGTATGCCCCGGCCGAGATTGGAGGACAATCCTCTTAGGAAAAAGAGGAAACTTTTTGACACAAATGATGAGCCTAGCTTTGTTAAAAAGAAGGTAAGACTCATGTCTCTTTGTAAAGTTTTTTTATTTAGGCTTTTTAAAAATATATTTAAAATAGTTTTTTAATGTTGTCGGAAATGTTACAAACGGTGAAGATGCAGAAAACCAAAAATGGAAGAATATAACTATTCTTGAACCACCCTTCATTTCTTTATACTTTGCTTCTAAGAAGTCAGACTGTCTTTTTTTTTTTTTAAGTGATCTTGAACAATAGTTCACCTGGCTTTGTTACAGCCCTCCAAAGTTTTTCTGTGGACATTGGCTGCTTTTTCGCTCATTTTCAGAGCAGTCTTTGTATCTGACCATTTTCAAATCAGTGTTTTTTCAATGCCAGGTAAGCTGCTTAACGGTGATCTATGAATCCTTAAGGTTAAAAAAAAAGACACCTACCAATGCCGTGTCTATATGTAATAGACAATACAGACGAAAACCATTTTAAATTGTATATTTTGGCACTTTGTTACTAGCGGGCTGTTTCTAAAACATGTAATCTGTTCCCATTTATTTTGGTGAATCTATGAAAAATGCCAAAGAAAACACAGTTTGATAAAAATAAAGTAGTAATTATGTCGTTACCCAGAAGGTGATTTCCAAAGAGCAACTAGCTGAAAACCATGTGCCTTATGCATTCACAGCATAGTGCATACTGTGCAATATGTCCTTAAAACATTTGAGGAAGCTGGACAAAAAGAAGGCGTGACATGCCTAAAACAAAAGTCATGTCCTCAAGAAATTGGAAAACATTTAGCAAAGATTTGACACATTGCATAGCATCTGAGCTATCAGTTGATCCATCTACTTTTCACTGATGCCTCAGAAAGGGTCTTAGTTGAAGGTTGGCTGTCAAGAAGCCATTCTTATAGAAGGGAAACAGACTGAGGTATGACAAACTACACAAGTTCTGGACTGAAAATCAGTGACCACGGGCCTTATGCAGTGATAAAGTTTTTAGTTTTAGTTAATTGTTATCAATATACAATATTTCAAGATTCATGTTGTCAATACAGCAGTATAAACAGTATACAGTGTACCGAAATTCTGTTTCACCCCAAGCCCCCATGGTGCATTTATAACTATATAAAAGATATATCTCCAAGAGATATAAAACTAGAAATTACAAATAAATAACATGCTAAATTTTGGTAAAATTAAGGGATACAAAGGTAACAATTACTAACTATACAATACTATACAATACTATAATGATAACTATACAACTACACTATACAACTATACACATGGAGGAGGTGAGGAGAGATACAACAGTGAGTGTCTACAGCAGTTTGTAAAGCATGGTGGAGGCTCTGTCATGGTTTAAGGCTGCATTTCAGCCAGTGGTGTTGGAATTATGAAAGCAGAAAATTACAGTCAGATTTTGATCCACCATGCAATCCCATGTAGAAAGCACGCAGTAAAAGCATACCAGGATGGAAAACACGGAGTGCAACTCTATCAGTCATGGATGGGCCTCCTCAGAAGAGAACGAAGGCCAGCCGACATCCAAAAAAGAGCTTTGAATGTCCTTCAAGAAGCCTGGAGAACTATTCCTAAAGACCTGAAGAAATGACAAGAAAGCTGCCTAAGAGAGTTCAGGCTGTGTTTGAGAATAAAGGTGGTCATTTTCCAGTGAAAATTAAATAAATGAGGCTCAAGACTTTTGCAGAGTATGATATTTTTTTTGTCAACTTTGGTTTTAGATGTTGCATAAAATGCAGACAGGCACTAAAGTTTTCAAATATTTGTCTGCAGATGTTTAATTAAAAACTCGAATATATTTAAAATATGTCAAAGAAACAAGAACTTAATTGAAAGTCCTGATCTTTATGTGGAAAAGCTGATAATTCTGTCTGCTTTCAAAACATAATTACGCTCCCTCTTTTCTTTCTTAGAAGAAGCTTTCAAAACCGGATGACTCATTTACTTCGAAGCTGCTTCAGCATATTAAGAGAGAGAATGATCACGGTGATGAAGAAGACGACCAGGAGGATCATGAAGAAGATGGGCTGTCCTTGGAGAGGATGCATTTAAGGGAGAAAAATGAGTATGACGACGAGGACCAAGATGGGGACGCTGAGGAAGAGGTGACGGTGAAAAAAGAGAGGGACAATAATGCAGAGGACAAAGCTAAGGTCCTTCTAAGCCCGCTGCTGAGAACGTCTGCAGCCAGAGAAAGTGACCAGACATCCTCTAACTCTCCCAGAGCGGGACCAAGCGGTGAGTCGGGAGAAGCCCAAGAGAGAAGCTCTGCTCAGCTTAAAGCACGACATCAGCGTAAGCGGCTCCCCAACAAGGAGGCGAGCAAAGAGTTCTGCCAGGAGACTCCGAAGATAGAAGACTGTCTGAGCAGCCAGAAGCTGGGCTCAGTGAAGAAGGAGGAGGACAGCCCAGCCAACCTCAATCGTCGACCACTTAAGACCGAAGACTCCCTGACCAATCAGAACCGAAAACCACTAAAAACTGAGGACCCACCTGCCAATCCGAGTCGTAAAGCCCTTAAAATGGAAGAAGGCGTAAACAATCAAAACAGACTGCCGCTGAAAACAGAAGACAGCTTGACCAATCAGAATCAAAGGCCAGTGAAATCTGAGCCCGAGAGTGAAGTGGACGAACAGAAGCCCAGGTGGCCTCTTAATAATGGCAGCAGCGACTTGGGCGACTGGCTGCGACACCGGGGGCGGGAGATGAACGGGATGCCGCGTGGCTACTCGCCGCTCAGTTGGAACAGAAACACACCGATCGCACCAATATGCCATCGACCGCTTCCCTGCCGGTCGCCACCGAAGTGTATCCAAATGGAGCGCCACGTGATCCGGCCCCCTCCCATCAGCCCCCCGCCCGACAGACTGCCCCTGAACGACGGCGAAGCGCATGTGATGCAGCGAGAGACCTGGATGATGGTGTTCGGTCACCTCAGTCACAGAGATCTCTGCGTCTGCATGCGTGTCTGCCGGACCTGGAACAGATGGTGAGTAGAAAGATGGTGGAGATGAAAAACGTGCCTTCTGCACTTCATCACACAGCAGTCCAGCGAAAACGTCCGCTGTCTCTCTCATCAGGTGCTGTGACAAAAGGCTTTGGAAGCACATCAATCTGAACCGCTGCAAGTCCATCACTCCCCTGATGCTGAGCGGGATCATCCGCAGACAGCCGGTAGCCCTAGACCTCAGTTGGACCAACATTTCCAAGAAGCAGCTCAGCTGGCTCATCAACAGACTTCCAGGTAAGTAAATCCACCCATCTACACAGGTGTGTTTGTGTCTGTATGAAACAGCCTTAGTGACATGTACAGGTAATGATGAAGGATTTTATGTGGCAGTTTTGTGTATTTATCTGTTTATTAACACCGGAAACAGACAACCAAAACAGTTTTACCACCCTTTGGCCATAATTGTGGCAAATAAACCAGATATACGGCAATATCATGTAATCTTTTTTTGTTTTTGGGGGGGGGTCAGCACGTTTGTCTCACTGCAAAACCAAATGTAGTGAGCTCATCATGTTACAGAGCCCCCTAATGGTCACATATGGGAAAAAATATTTTCAAACTACTTTTGGGAATCATTCAGAATCATTTTTCCTTTTCTCTTGAGGCTTATGCTGTACTGTTAGAGGATATTTGCAGTCTATTGAAAGGATGTTTCAACAGGCAGAGTGGCCGCAGTGTGGAGCTAATGCCTGTTAGCTCTGCTGCAGCTGCTCTGCCTGGTTGTGGAGGTAAATGTGGTTATGGTTTGGAGTTTATGGCTGATTCTGTGGTAATAAAATTATTTAGATCTTTGGTCCTTATATAGCTCACGTGTTAGTATGTGTTAGCATTCCAAGAGTTCAGAAATACTGCAACATAAATGTAATGCAACCAGTGCATGTAGTTGGTGTTAAACCTTTCCAGACACAGCCCAAATCGCAGCCACAGTCGTCGCTGCAGCTCATCTCATAAGGTTTCTGGAAGAGTGGTGTGAACAGGTTTTACTTACACCTGTGTAGCCACGAGGGTGCATTGATTCACCCTGTGGTCATTGCCAGCAGCTGTATACATTATAATGTATAATACTGTATCGGAGTGGATGGTGTGTCACTGTTCAATCTTCCAGAGAATTTCTAATTCAAATCCATTTATTATGTGCGTTTTGGGGGGGGGGAGTATTTGATTAAATGTAATTTTTCTGTGCTGACATTTGTAGAGGATGTTTTTTTTTCTTTGCTACACCAAGAATACTGCATCTGAGACAGAAAACGAAGAAGCAGATGCCAATTATTGCATTTGTCCACATGAAATCAAACAGCAAACCAAACTTTAAGAACTGTCTATAACAAGGTTTTTTGTGTCCTTGCAGGTCTGCGTGTGCTGCTTCTCTCTGGATGCTCATGGGTAGCCGTCTCTGCTCTCTGCACCTCCAGCTGTCCTCTCCTGCGAACTCTGGATGTTCAGTGGGTCGAGGGACTGAAAGACGCTCAGATGAGAGACTTGCTGTCGCCTCCCACAGATAATAGGCCAGGTACCAACCGTTTTTCTGTCACAGAACACCAGGACAACATTATTGACTGAGTGAGAGAGCTTGATTACAGAGGGGGGGAAAGGAGATTGTTGGTATAGTGACTCTGTCTGTGTTTTCTTTTCTGAATCACTATACTTCAAGTCACTCCGTTTCACAATGGTAGAATACAAATTCATCTAAAGACAAGCTCAGATGAAGTTTATGTACTAAACTAAATATCTTTGAGAGCTGTTTTCACACATGCCCTTCCCCTGAATTTATCTCAACCTGTTAAAACTGTTTTTAAAAAGCCTCCACAGTCAAATGGCAGTTATATCACATGCATAGAGTCCTGTGAAAGCCAAATACACTGTTACAGCTTTCATAGGGATTAAGAAGGTCAGTAGCAGCCAGGTGCTGCTAAAAAAAAGCACTTGATTAAGTGATTATCAGCAAGTGTGAGCACCTCAGTGGCAAAATGGATGTCCCAGTAAATTCTCCCCAAAGTCAGACTGTGCAATGTGCAGAAAAACACAAGAGCTACATCTCAGAGTCTACAAGTCTCTGTTAGCATTTTGCAAGTCAAAGCTCGTGACGGCAAAATTGGAAAAAAGACTGAACAAGTATGACTTCTTTGAAAGGGTTGCCAGGGGAACGTATCTTCTCTCTAAAAAAGAGGCTTAGGTTTGCATCTGCACAAACCACAAGACTTTGAGACCAAAGTGGAGGTGTTTGGCCATAATAGATAGGAGAAGTAGATTGATTGGTGCATAGATTAACTGATTGATCCTAAAAGGTAAATTATTGTGTTACAGCATTAAGAATAACAATAGTACCGTGTACTGTAGATAAATAACAAAGTTAAAATGTTTCAGGTGCACAGTGAAGGGCCTTTACTGTGTGATGGGTGTGTGCAAAATCTGCATACAACAGTGACTTTGAAACCCCCCTCCCCCCCAATAAAAATAAAAATGAGGCAAAGTTAAAGAAGAGTAAAAATTAAGACTGAGATTGAGCAAGAGTAGTGTAAATTGCATTTATCATAAATAATGTGTACACAATAAATACTGCCTCGGGCAGGATTTTAAACATACTTTACTCTCCCTGCTCAGTGGTTCTTAGTTTGTCTGATTTCTTACTGAACCCATGTGAAGACAGAGCAATTCATTGTTTGACTTTAAAGTGGTCCTGCAGGGTCTGTCCAGGCAGCATCCTGACCTAAACTAAATTGAGACCTTTGAGTAGTATCAGAAATGAATGAAAAGAGCTCTGTGTCAACAAATTCTGATAACTGACCAAAATAAAACATCAAATTAATCAGTCTATCAATAATTGGCCACTTCCTTACCTGGTCTGTAACTCAGACCGAGAGCCAACCCACTGGTTCCTGTTGAAGACCTGCATACATTTAAAAAGTCTGGCCTCTCCAATTTAGCAAATTGCTGTAATTGGTGTATTTTCTGTTGAATGCAGAATTATCAGCCATGAATGAATGCAAAATTGGAGTCTTGGCTAAAGCAGCCATGTTGTAGGAACATGTCACCCAGATGTGCGATGTGTGCCTTTAATGTTGTTTGTAGACAACAATGCAGCTTTGTGGCAGAGAGATGATGTTATGTCAGGCTTTAGATCCAGAGACAGCAGTTGTTAGTAGGATTACTTCACTGTTGGGGGATTTGTTTCTTTTCCATGCTCATTAACTATATACCATGAATCATCTCTCTTTACTTAATCCCTCTGGTAATCTCCTCCCCTGTGTTTTTACACATTTTGTAGGTCAGTTGGACAACAGGAGTAAACTGCGTAACATAGAGGACCTGCGTCTGGCAGGGTTGGACATCACCGACACATCTCTGCGCCTCATCATTCGTTACATGCCCCTCTTATCTAAGCTGGACCTCAGCTACTGCAACCACGTTACTGACCAGTCGGTTAACATCCTGACTGCTGCGGGGACAACCACCAGAGACTCACTCACTGACATCAATCTGTCAGGTATGAGTCTGTCTTTGTAGGCTCTAAATCTGCCTGGATTAGACTCATTGCACTGACTTGTGGCTGAAATCAAAATGTATTAGACCTGAATACTGAATTATCACCTCTGTCCCCTTTAGATAATCCCAGTGAATGTATAAAACAGCTTGATATTTAACCCCATTAGCAACACCATGCTTTAGAAAACTTAGGTCCAATATTAATAAATAATGCAGTTATAGTACTGTGCAAATAACTCCCATCACCCCTCATTCCTTTATATGTTGCTGGGAAAATTGAAATTAGGTGCAGAAGTTTATTAAAAATTGTGCAAATATACACTGAAGTACAGCATATACGGCAAAAACAGTTTGTGCAGTTTTAATGAGATTAAAAGTCAATATTCGGTCTTTATTCTTTAACATAGCCTGAACTCTCTTAGGGTTAGGCTTCTTGAAGGACATTCAAAGCTCTACTTTGGATGTCGGCTGCCTTTTGTTCTGCTCTCTGTCAGGATGATCCCACACTACTTCAGTAATGCTGAGGTCTGGGCTCTGAGGAGGCTGATCCATGACTGATGGTGTTTTCGTCATGTGTTTGTCTATCCAGGTATGCTTTTACTGTATTAGCAGTGCATCATGTTGAAAAATGAAGCCGCTGCCAATCAGATGCTTTCCAGATGGTATTACATGGTGAATGAAAATCTGACGGTACTTTCCTGCGTTCATAATTCCATTAATTTTGACAAGATCCACAATACCAGATGGCTGTAGACACTCACTGTTGTATCTCCATACAAACGAACGATGATGATAATTGATGATTTCAAATCCTTAAGAGTGGCGTCTTGACAGCCAGCCATCCACTGAGACTGATTCTGACTTGATGTTTGTAGACCGCAAAGTAGGCTTCAGTGAACAGTAGATGGATCAACTGAGGGGCAGGTGCATGTCTCAGGTCCTGTGTTCAGTCTTTGGATGTTTTTCTAGTTCTTCAGGACCCAGCTTTCAGATACTGTTTATCGGTTGTAGATAGATTTTTGTAGCCCTGCCACTTCTTCTTTGGTCCTGTGCTTGTTTAGTTTTGCATTGCGCACCAGGCAGAGCTGACTGGCTACTAGTAATGTTTTTTTAATTTCTTTTTTGCCAAGCTTTCTGTTATGTGTTGACACAACACTGGTTTATCCCTAGATTTAGGTACCTTTTTGGTTCTTAAATGATTCATAGGTCAGTCTTAAGTGGCTTTGGCTTAACAAACAAACAGACAAACAAAAACATTACTCTGATAATGTCAGGTACAAGGACTGGACTGAAAAATAGTGAAAAGCAGCCAGTGTGTAAGAAAAATTGCCTTCACAAAGCCTATTGCTTAAGATCGCATGAAGAAATTCCTAGAAAATCTGGCTCCTTGGATCCAAAGCATAAAGAAATGAGGGGTGAGTCAAGACTTTTGCACAGTACTGTAATTTTGGAGAGGAAATCTTGTTCAGTGGCCTGTGCAGAACTGATAAAAATAACTCAATACTTTTCCTCCAAGAATATTATCAAATGTTTAACGCAGTAAATCAAAGGGCCATTTTAGAAACCTCACCATACTGAGACCGTTTGAGCTCCTGTCCCAAAAGGCTGATTAATCCATGCGTGTGCAGAGTCTGTTTCAGCGCAGGTGACCTGTTATACACCATTTAATTTTTTTTCCAACCCAATTTCTCCCTGCAGTCTGTAACAGGGTCACAGACCAGTCGCTGACCTATTTCAAGCGCTGTGGAAGCATTTGCCATATCGACCTGCGATACTGCAAACAGGTGACCAAGGAAGGATGTGACCAGTTCATCGCCGAAATGTCCGTCAGTGTGCAGTTTGAACTCATTGAGGATAAACTGCTGCAGAAGATCAGTTAGGCACACGGACAACTCTGGTGTGATTTTTTTATTTTTTTCACAAGTAGTAAAAGTGCCGTCCACATGGAGGCAGCAGAAGACTGCTTACTTGTGTGTGAAAGAGCGTGAAGGACTCCTGTAAAACTGATATAAAGGGAGTTTGCGCTGCTAAGCAAGAATGTAAAAATGGTCCTGTAATGGATATATGTATGTATATATATATATATATATATATATAGTTTTTGTTGTCACACCTGTTTATACGTTATTTATTCTTTATATTGATTGTTTTATGTATTGTATCCTGGTTATCTTTTTGGTGTTTATAGACTATTTTTTGTTTCAATGCAAAGTTTATTGCATTATAGAAGAATATTTTTGTATCAGAAAGTGTTTCATACATTTATGTGCAGTATTAAATGGACCACTGTAGTGGCTCCATGCTGTAGTGGTTTTCAAATTCGCCTAATAAGCGAAGGAACCCCCAGTATCCGGGGAGGAGACACGAATCCCTTTGAGGACTGCGTCAGGAAGGGCATTCGGACATAAAAAAAGAAAAACAACAGCCAAATTAAAACACGCGGAGCTACCCGCTGTGGTGACCCCTTTCCAATAAGGGAGTGGCTAAAAGTAGCTTTTATTAAATGCACCACTGTACAGTATCACAGCACTGAAAGCGATTATTAGTTGGCATTACTGTTAAGCTTTTTATTGTCGAGAGACAAAGGTCTAACGATTTGTTGCCAGACTTGTAGGATGGTAGTTTTTGTTTGTGTGGGTGTTTTTATATTTTATTATTGTATATGCCAGAGTTCTGCTTCCTTTTAGATAAAGGTACTGTATATTTTGTTTTCCATGTCCGTTTGGATGAAATATCTAGTTATTTGCACTGATGCGGTCAATACGAATACATGAATGCATTCTTACATACATTATACAGTGTACAGTGTATAAAGCATATTTTTTAAACACTAAAACGTTCTGCTAATTTTACTAACAGCTTGTAGGTAACTGGGCTATTATAAGATAAAAACATCTCCATTACTCTTTAGTATTCCCGGTGCTTTGTGGAAGGAAGCGTTTTAGCTCTGCATGCAGACATGTTTACACCACTGTCAGTAGAGTTAGTAACAGTTAAACGATATAACCATGTTTACTCCCGCTGAACTCCACGTTACCATAAAGAAGAGACTGTGCTGAATCATGCAAGGAGTAAAGAATCTAAAGCCTATAAGGTTTAAATTTAGAAAAGAGGATCAGACATACAAAAATGCAGCTGAGTGTCTCTACTTTGTAAATCGCTCTTATTTTGGGCTTTATATGCCTAAAGTGTCATGTTCCAAGGAAATTGACAACAACATTGAGAAAACAAGTGAAACCAATAACAGTGAAGCCATTCCAATCTCAAAATGTGAGGCCTTCACCAGAAACTCAGCATGAGACCAAATACACTGTATCCAGTGTAGGAGAAAAGTGAAAAGGTCAGCAGAGGGTTGTATGAAAGATTTCTGTAAAATATAAAAGTAAAAAAAGGCTTTTTTTTTTCTTTGTTAGCCAGAAAGTTCACTGAAAACAAAAGAAAACACATTAACACTGGTTTATTTTTAATTTTTTTAATGATATTTTGAGTTGATCTTCTGATGTAAGTACATTGTGACCTGTCATTCAGTGATAAAGTTTCAAATTCATAAGCAATGTTCTTACTGTGCACCTATACTCTTTATAATTGTATTAAGACATTCAGAAGTCGTTGGAAGTTTTGACTGACTCATGAGTTTAGTGATTAATAGAATTTCGTTTTCCTCTTTAAAACTCCAGATTTTTCTAAAAGGAAGTCTTTTGCGTAATTTTTGAATAGCACTCCAGTCCATACAGTTCAGTGGATGGGTTTACATTTAAAATTTTATGTTTTTATTAAAAGGCCGTGTCTCCATGAAATATTTTAGTACATTACTTCAGATCTATTTATCTGTACATAATGTACACGCAAAGCCTCTTCAGAGTCGACCTTTGAGATATTAAATTCATTTTAAATACTGATGAGTGTGTGAGTTTCGTCCTTTGGGTTTAATCAGTAACAGGTTTGTATCTTATACTGGAAAGCTGGTCATGTTAGATTTACCTCTGTGTTTAATACACGCTGGCTCCTATACAGTACTGTGCAAAACTCTTGAGCCACCCCTCATTTCTTTATATTTTACTTGTAACGAGCCAGACTTTATTGAGAATTTTAAAAGTGGTCTTGAACAATATTTCTCCTGGGTTTCTGGAGGTCTTTCAAAGTTTGATTTTGGAAATTGTCTGCTTTTTCAAAAAAAGTCTTTAACTCTATTGGTCCCTCTGTGCTCACTATAATCAGCACCTCGCTGTTCTCTGGTCAAGTCCCTGCTAATTTTAAGTACACCATCATCCATCCATTTACAAAACAAAAAACAAGCTTGACCCTTCTCTTCTTAGCAATTAGAGACCAATTTTAAAATGTCATTTATTGCTAAGATTTTAGAAAAGGCTGTGGCTAAGCAGCTTACTTGGACAAATACAGTTTACATGGCAAATTTCAATCTGGTTTTCTAGAGCTCATTCTACTGAAACTGCATTTCTTAGTGTCCAGTGAGATTTTGATGCCGACTGAGGCTGGAGACTGTTCTGGTCTACTAATATTGGACCTGATCTCCACTTTTGATACTGCTCACCACCACATTTTGTTTTATAGGCTAAAATGTTGGGTGAGTATATCTGGATCTGCTCTGGAGTGGTTCGCATCATCTGTCTGAACGAAGCTTTCCTGCTTCAGGTCCTTGTCTTCTTCCTTTAGCTATGGTGTGCCACAAGGTTCTGTACTAGGACCTTTAATATTTCTATTATATCTGCTCCCTCTTCAGCACATTTTGAGCACCTTTGAGGGCATTTGCTATATATTCCCTTGTATATCTCTTTTAAGCCCCAAGATGTTTCTAAGCTGCATATCCTGAATAAGTGCCTAGCCTTGTCCAACTTAATTTTTTCGTCATTAAGCCCCTTTTTGAGCCCCTGAGAGATTTATGCCTAGTTTATGTTGCTGATCCAACTGCAGTGGCTCCCCATTAAATTGAGAGTCCATTTCAAGATTCTGGTTCTGACTTTTACAGCTCTTCATGGACATGGACCAGCAATTAAAAACTTTCTAGATTTGCATTTAGGTAACGATTTCCTTTTTTGTGAGGGACTTATCTTTTTCTTAAAAGGTGCTGTAAAATACAATTTTACTTTTTCAGTAATTTTGAGTCCAGTCCTACTCTGTAACCATTTTCACAGAAAAGTTTCTTTTATCCATCATTTGTTCCCATTTCTTGGAAAAAAAAAAATCCAATATAACACAGTTTGACAGGCATACAAATGTATTTTTACTTCAACAGGATGATTCCCAAACCATTGACACTATAGCTGCAATGCTGTCTGGAAAGTGTCTGATTACCTTAATTTTTTTGTATTGTAATGATCCCAAACACACCGCCATTGCAGTAAAAGCATACTTGGATAGAAAAACACTATCAGTCATGGATTGGCTCAAGATTTTTAAACAGTATATCAATCAGTGAGAATATCACAGTTTTATAAAATGAAAAGCAGGGTTTTACATTCTGGTTTGTAGTACTGCATTTTATTGAATCTAATAAATCCTTTTTTTTTAATATCTTGATTACCAAAATAAAAAGGTTGAACAGTCAAAAATATAAAGATCCAGGATTACGAGTGCTTATGATGTGCTCTCACTCTGATAATACCTTAGCTGCCCGTGAGTGACATCTTTGAGAGACAGCAGCAACAACAAACTGACAGAGTAACAGCGACTGCTACATCGCACGGTGCGAGTGAATTGGAAGCAGAAGACAACAGAAAGGTTGTAGAAAGCAAGACTATGATGCAACTTTAATAGTGAGAGACATGATCAAACTCATGTGACCATAACTAGCAGAAATACATTCTGAAAAACAGTAAATTCTCCTTTTTTTTAAACCTTTGTAATGATTAGAATTTTTAATCCTGTCAACTCCAAGGTAAATGGAAAAATATACATTTAATAAAGTATCAGTAAACAACAATAAAAGCTATCTATGCAATTTACTTAACAGCGATTAAATTGCAGTTATTTTATTTACCACAGGCATACTGTACACACAGATACTTCAGTGACATCCGAGTTAACTGGATCTCGTGACAAGAACAAAATGTTTTATTTGCATAACAGGTTAAAGTAAATCAGGCTGCCTCTTACTGTGTGATGGATATTTGGAAATGACGTGGCAAAACGTCTGCGTGAGGAAGTTTCACTCAAAAAAAAAAAAAAAAAAAAAAAGAGTAGCACCTGTTACCTTCCTACGATCTGACATTAAAAAGGATGACACAAACACGTGATCAATTTGGAAATGAAACGGTATTGCTTGGTGAAAGCTATAGAAGACTAAACCAACTTTAAAATGTAGATAAATATAGGGGCTAAACTCAAGGTCCACTTAGTACCTCCTACTGGGGACGTCCAGCAGCATGTCATGGGTTTGTTTTCATTAAATGAAGCTGCTCACTTCATTCGCTCCTGTGTCGTCCTCACCTCTCAGCTCCTCCCGGCAAAGATGGGAGAGAGATCTGAGTACAGAAGCTGCCAAATTAGAAACTCTTGCTTCCATTGTGTCAGACCTATTAGGCAACATCACTTATTTATGATAGGCTGCACAGCAGGATCATTTGTCAGCCCGACTGGTTCTACTGTCCACAGAAAAATTCCCTTAGAAGCTGGTAAAATGCAAGAAGACTTAAACTGATTAACTTAGTTGTGCATTTATAGCTGTGTTACAGTTGTTGATTTAATCATCTTCTAAGTCCTTCATGGATAAGTGATATGTTATCTTTTCTGCTTTTTTGTATCAGGAAACGTAGTTGGTAACAACTGCTACACAATTTTGCAGTAAAATTATATTCCACTGTGTTAGTTACTGTGAGATGATGGAATAAAACTGTCTCACGTGCATCCTGTCTATAATCACTGGTGGACGTGTGATATTTATAAATCAGTTTAGCTCCTAAGGTACATTTAACGATGACTGTGAGGAGAAATGGACCAGTAGGAGAAAGGACGTGGGGAAATAAAATGTACACAGGAGAAGAAGGAGGCCTTTCACATGATCTCCCACCTTAAGTCATGCGACATCAAGGAACATGTCAATGGCAAATCAATGAATGATCACATTACAGAGACTGTAAAATGCAGCAAAAAGCTCTACAACAAGCTTGAAAGTGGGCCTTGAGTTCATTTTATTGTCGTTGTCTTAATAAACATTCGCACAGTAGATCTAGCAGGAATGTACACTGTGACTTAACCAACCGGCAAACTGCAGGAGTCTTGGATGAGACAACGGAGAAACGATCCTTCACACAGTAAGTGTTAACCGGCTCACATGTACACACTCTGTTTCCCCAAAGTTCATTTGAGTAAATGGAAAAATAAGAATAAGGTATCACACCAAGCTTGCTGGTTATGTGATGCATATACTGTGAAACTTAACCAAATATCAACTCAAGGCATGATTTTTTTTGGCACCCTACATGCTCCTGTGTGAGACGACCTGGTGCATAATAAATATTTTCTAAGAACACTTCTTTTTTATTTTTTACTTTTTTCTGATATTGCACATCCTAAAAAGAAACAAAGAAACAAACAAAACAACACTGAAGGAGAATGACACAATGCCATGTGGCATGACTGTGTAAACCATACTGACTCAAACCCTGGGATCTTATATTTTAACTGCTTCTCTTCCCCACAAATAACAAGGCGGTCCACTTCAAGTACCCGCAGGACCACCTCCTGCCCACTCCTCTCTTGTGGGTCGAATCTATACAGACACTGGCGAGTACAACGTGATGGCAGGGGCTTCTGCTGTGTGTTTTACGACCAAAGACAGAGAAAATGAAAGTCCCGATGTAGCCGATGCCGGTCCACCAGGGTGGAGAAAGGAGGACTGGAACATAAGTTAGTAAGGAGGGCAGGGGGGCAAACCGTGGTAGGCCAGAGACAACAGTCTGGTTTTCAAGACCGAGAAGTTGCTCACGCCTGCTGCAGCATTAGGCCCTGTGAGACGTCATGCACAGCAGTTCATTCTCAGTGATAAATTCAGGGCTCGGGCCACGCCTGAGAGCCGCGCCGACATTCACCCACTCACCCACGCTCACACTGAGTTTTAAGACTTGAAGACATGCACGGCCCGCACAACATACTGCCTGCAGATGGGGCACTCGCTCATCCTCTTTCCGCATTTGGTGCAAGTTACCATGTGACCACATTCCAGTAACACACAGTCAATGATGGCATCCATGCAGATGCGACACAGGTTTTCATCAGCCGCCAGCTGAGCTTTGACGCCATCTGTGGATGGGAATATATATATATATATAAAATAAATATTTTCAATAAGAAATCCTTCTTTGCTGTGGGCTCATAAGAGTGTATGGAGATCAGCGTTGGAGGTGCAGATGCAAGACAGAATAATAAGCACAAACACCATCACCAATGTTCGGCCCAGTAAACTACAGCCCTACACTCCCTGTGGGTTTGAGATGTTATTTAAAATGATAAAGTACTTTGAAGCTTTATTGCAGATATTTATATCTACACTTCTTGTGAGGTGGAAGCTCTCCATCTCCAGCGATTAAAAATATTACCATTCATTTTATTTGGTGACAAGTTAGTTCTCGGACTAATCTAAATCCCTGCACTTTCCATGTCAAAGTAAAAAAACACAAAGAACAAAAAACTAAACTAAAAAACTTAAAAGCATGTGGTCCTTCCTCTTGGACTGAAACAGTGAAGCCAGTACTGAGGTACTAAAAACGGGTGAAGCTCTAAAATGCCACAAGATGCTGCCATCTCATTTAAATCTGATTAAGGATTAAAGACAGGCATTATTAGGGGTACGGCAACTTTGATTGACATGTCGATGCCAACGAGGCTTGCTTGACTGTCTTTGTGGTGTTGGTTCCTTTTGGAGCCCTGTATATTGCAAACAATATGGCCTTCTGTATGGTTAACTGAACTAGCAGACATGTCAAGAGGTCTGTGCTCTGGTTTTAGTCTAGGCTCTATTTTGAAATGTGTGTGTTAGTGCCAAATAGAGCAACATAAACCTGTCTGTGCTAAATGTTTCCATGTGCAGGGCAAAATAGGGGGTTTTATTTATTTGAGATGGAGATAAAATATCGATACTAACAAAAGGAAACCGCTGAGCCGTCCTGTGACAGCTTGTGAACAGAGCCATGCATAATGATCAACACATGCTGATGGTAGGCAGACAGCCTCTCCCATCAAAACCATTTAAAATCACAGCGGCAAATTGTATCAGTGCTCTGGTTTTACTAACACTTAAATGATTTCTGACTGATCAGCTGACTGGCCTAAATCTGGGTCCTGCTGCTCACATCTAGCGTGACAGGAAAAGACCAATGCAGCTGCAGCCTGTCTGCTGCCTGTGCACAGCTGACTAATAAGAGGAGCTAATGTGATCCGCAAGCCCTTCATGTCAACGAGGACGCTTGACAATGCAATTACACCTGAAGACATGCTGCCACTGAAGCACCATGACGGCTCATCAAGAGGTAAAAGCACTTAAAGAGGGCATTAACGACGGCATGAGAGGCTGTCCTTCAGAATAAACAGAGATGATGTACACAGGAGAAGAAGCACGAGTGACAGAATGCAGACACACCGAACCAGGCAGGAAATAATGACTTAATAAAAAGCACCCTTGCAAGATCACAACAAAGAGGAAGATGGTAAAGGACGGGGTGAGTAAAAGCAGCTGCAGCATGCCTTAACTGGTCTAGCAGATGAGTTGCAAATGCAGTATCAGTACAATGGCGATCATGGAGGAGATGGAAATAGTGTGTTATGTGGCTTTTTTTTTTTTTTAGAAACACATCTTACCTCCAACTCCACTGTTGCAGAGAGGTGGAGGATATGCAACCACTATATAGTTAAGAAGGGGCAGTAACAAAGAAGATTAGTTTGGGGGACGTGAACTTGCTCATTAATATAAAAAGTGAAGCAGCAAATAAGCAGGTTGTTTTGCATTAAATGCTTCCTCACATAATTACAGCACATCAGCGGCATAAATGCAATGTTGTAATCACAGATGAATAGACATAATTAAATGTAAGTTACCTGCAGTTATGTTGACATTTTCCACTAAAGCACAAGGAGAAAAAAAAAAAAGTGTTCATCAAGAAAAAAATAAAAATAGTGAAATTTGTAAGAAACAATGAAAATTCAAAGCTCTCACTTGACTTCCTGTTCTGCTCGTTTTCTCTGTAGAGTCGATGCACTCGCTCCAGCAGCTCCCACTTCTCGCAGCAGCCAGAGTAATTGACAAAGTTCCTGGCGAGAATCTCTTTCAGCTGGCGGACGGACAGGTTTTCTATTGCCTCTTCGTTGTCGAGATCCGACAGCGAGGCTCTGATCCTCCTTTGTGTCGCCGGACTGACCTGCAATCCACACACAGCAGCAGAGCCGTAATCACTTACAAAGCAACAGGATAGCATTTCCTTTGACTTTAAAGATACGGACAGTTCGACGCTGTAGATGTGCACAAAAGCGGGTCTCACACCTCTATGAGACTTTCCGTGGGCTCCAGGTTCAAGAGGGATGCTGTTGGAGTATCATCATGCTCCTGTGTGAGTGGAGACAAACAGTCAGGTTAACTTAAGTCAGATCCAACTGTCACAATGATTTTGAACTTGTTAAGATAAATACCAAAGACTTCTCAGGTGTGACAATGACTGATTTTCGTAGTTCGTAGTTTAACTCATAAGATCTAATGCACATCCCATATTAGTTCTTTTCCCTGTGTAAAAATACTTTAAAAATCTCAGGTATATAATGCACATTCGTGCTCCTCCCTGAGCCTGGTTCTACTGGAGGTTTCTTCTTGTTATAAGCGAGTTTTTCCTTCCCACTGTTGCCAAAAGCTAGTTCAAAGGGGCCATCTGATTACTGGAGTTCTCTCAGTATTGTTGTAGGGTCTTCCCCTTACAATATAAAGCGCCTTGAGTTCGACTGTTATGTTGGTGCTACATAAATAAAACTGAAGTTATTTACACGACTTTTTGTTAGAACAACCTATTCTTTCAGAATACATGTGCTACAACACTATTGAATGAATGCATAAAATGTTACATCACAATAAAAAGTTCTATACAAGAACCACTCGGTTATTGCAGTTAAAAAAAAAGACACTGCAGAGATAAACATTACATACTTTGCCATTTTACCTGATGGCTTAGACCTCTTTTGGTCAAAGTAACGAATGTGGAACCTTTATGGAAAGCATAATAAAATAAATTGTTCCTGCTCTGTGTGACAAGGTTTCATCATTGCCACGATAAAAGAAATTACTTTACCGCTATCTGTGACTTTAACTGCTCAGAAAGCCAACAGAGATGTTTAAACACTGTCACAGCTCCTCTTAGCTCAGCAGTTAATTAATCTCTTTGAAGGTGGAGGTCAGGAATTTGCTGTATTTAATAAGAGAACGAAAGGAGCTACAGAAGAGTTTAGGCTCTGTTTTGTGTAGCTGTGTTATCACTGCTGATATTGCCCTCTTTGTTCTTTTATCTGTGTGACAAAACGAACTCGTGAGGCACTGAAATAAGCTCTAATTGATACCACTGAGTTCAGCGCCTCTCCTTCTAGACCATAAAAACTAAACTCCCTCTCTCTGCTTCAGCACATTCCCGCAGACCATCGTCTTTCTTGAATAAAGACGTGTTAATAATGAATCCATCAGGAGCGCTGCTAGGTGCCTAACGCTTTGTGCAGACATCGTGCTTTTGCTCAGACGGCACTCCTCAGAGACACAAACATGAGCTGCAGTCTCGACTCTCACAGAGAGCCGAACCTCAGTGGAACACGTGAATGATGTTAGATTTTATTCAACCATCAAAATGACATAGAAGTACTAGAAAGCACTTGAATTAACTAGCAAGGCTGCAGAAGCACAAGCAGAAACAAAACGTTCAGAAGGCTTTTGTGTACAACAAAACATACATGGGCTAGATAGTTTTTATTTTGGCTCTGCACAGGAGGATTTCCTTGGAATGTGTCAGGCTCCATCATATGCTTACTGATTCATAGATTTGATACCAAATGTTAGCAAAAAATGTCCAGACATTTTCAAGGGCCATAACCTCCTGGACGGATGCCGATATCGTCGTATCTCATGCCAGAGAGCTACAAATGTCAAGGTAATTTCAAAGAGAAATTACGGCATCTTGTCAAACAAAGAGGCTTCTAGTTTTGACATTATATTGTGATAAAACAATCCCGTCAATCATCCTGTGCACTGAAATGTTAAATCTCAAAGCAACTGATCCAATTTCCCCCCCTTTCTTTGATATTCAGTCTATTTTCCAGCTCCAGTCTGAAAAGTGACACCAATATCCCCCAAACATCGCCTCAGAGAAAATGGGTTATTCATCAAAAGCAACGATGTGTATGGTCCTTTTTTTTGTGAAAATGGTTGAAGTGGTATCAACTCGAGAGTTTGAATATTTAAGGGAGCATGAAAATCTTACTCAGTTCACGCAGTGGCTTTGCATTATCACACAAAAAACTGCATCACCCAAAAAAGTATTTCACTGCAATGTGTAGTTTCAGAAGCTAAAGCTAATAGACGTCAAGTGATGTCAACCACTAATCAATCACAAAGCAGAGCCCTGAGCAAAGTGGACACTGTCATTTAAAAAAAGAAAACAAAACAAACAAAAGCAGACACCACACTAGGGACATTATTAGGAATTATTTCACAACCCCACAGATCTCAACATTTAACATATATATCTGCAACATGCAGGATCTGTGGGGCTTGTCCTGCTGAAATGGTGCCAACTCCAGCACCGGGCATCCTTGTCACTCATCGGTCCTTCTGCTGGAGCAGAAATAGAGACTCCACTGTAGCCCATCTGCTTCAAGTTTTGATGTGTTGCATGCTCAGAGATGCTCTTCTGCATACCTTTGTTTTAACTAGTGGTTACTTGACTTGCATTTGCCTTCGTATCAGGCTATTCTACTCTGACCTCTGGCATCTTCTTGCCCAGAGGTTTGCAGATTCTTGGATATTTTCTTTATTTCAGACAATTCTCCATAAACCGTAGAAATGATTGTGCAGGAAAATCCGAGCAGTTTCTGACATGCTCAGCTCGCCATTCTGATGCTCTGTTTGAACTTGAGCTGCCGACCTTGTCTAAAGGCCTAAATGCACTGATTTGCTGTCATGTGATTTGCTGATATTCAAACAGCAAAAATCAGATGTACCTAAAAAGTGACTGTGTGTCTTTATGTTAATTCACTGAGCTTTTGTAACTATACATGGAAGTTTCGTCTGCCACCACACTTTTACTGGCAATGATGCCTGTTAATTCTCAGTTAATTTTAATGATGAGGTATATTTTAGGAAGACCACGGCACAAATATATCTGGTACATACGTTAGATTAGTTCAGATCTCACCCCCCAAAAAGCCCCATATCCTACATATGTCTAGTCTAAGAGTGCCGTTTGGAGTGATCTAGTTGGACCGTCCAAATTTTTTGACAGATTGTTTTCTCAATAATTCATGAAGTTAGCACAAATGTCTTAGATGACTTTTGCTTTCTTGTCTGACTGTCTTTGTAGTATTTGTGTCAAAATTTGGTGGTAAGAAATTTAAAGTGCCACAAACTAAAATTTGCACAGTGCCCATCCCATGAAGAGATGAGAGGAGGAGTGTACAGTGGTGTTTCTGCTGTTTGGTTGCAGCTGTGACGCTGTGGGGAGTTCTCAACCTGTGCTCCTGTTACATAACAGGCTCAGTACATGTAACAGTACTAAAAAAAGGCAAAGGGCTTAATCTGCCTCGCTGGCTGGTCTGAGGGCTTTGCACTTACACACAGAGCTAGCCCACATAGCTAACACAGCTGTTTTCAGCTGTCACATGGATATTTTGCTGAACACTGCACCAGTACCACGGAGGAGAGTTAACCTTTTTTCCCTTCAATGGAGTCGATTTTTCATTCATAACAAAGCAACAAGACCAGAAAACAAAACAAAACACAGAAAGCAGCACAAAGGAAAGAGTAAAGTATGAAATCAAATGAAACAGACATCTAAGCCCTCTATGCACACGAGAGTGCTGGTTTGTTAGCGAGTTAAAAAGAGAAGAAGTTAAAACAGCCACTCTGAAACTTAATATGTTGATTTCACCTCTGAAATTAATTATCTCGGACAGAATGAGGACAGATGTGATGAAAGTATGGCGGATGTAAATCAGGGAATGATGCTTGTGCACGTGCGGCTGCCAGGATGCTCGTTGTTAGGATGCTGACACACTCTGAATGAAAGCGGTGTGTTTGTGAGCACAGACCTGGCTGGTGGTCCCTGAGCTGTCACTTGGGCTGAGCACGTCTCCCTGAGAGGCGGACAGGACCGACTGTTCAGAGGTGGAGCGCGTTGCGGAAGGGGGCGAGGCGGCACGTGAGTGCGGGAGCGAGTGCAGGCTGTCTGTGTCATCTCCCCCTTCATCTTCCTCCTCTTCATCTTCCTCCTCCTCCTCCTCCTCCTCATGTGTATCCTCCTCCTCCTCTTCATCCTCCTCATCCTCCTCCTCCTCCTCCATCACCGGTCTCGGGGTCTGCCTCGCGCCCTGTCTCGCGCCCTGGTGACAGAGCACCAGGTCCACCAGGTCCTCCTTCTCCCTGCATGTGTCGGTCGGTATGTTGCGCAGCAGCAGGTACTGGCGCAGGTCCTTCACCCTGAGCTGCATGAGCCGAGGCCGCTGGAAGGCCGTGCCGCGCAGGAGGTGGCAGGTCGTGCAGCAGCGCAGGTTCTCCTGCAGCACCGAGCACAGAGCGCAGAAGCTCTTCTTACAGTCACAGCAGATGTGCTGCAGGGGGAGGAGAGATTGAAAGACAGATGTGATGTGATCAGTTATTCTTTCTCTTCTGACTGACGCAAACAAACTTGTTCTTGAAGTTGTTCTTTTTCAGCAACATAAGGGTGATGATGTCTGGCCTGTTAACTTATAAACTCTTCACCATTTATGCCACTTTAAAAATAAATAAATAAATAAATAAATAAATAAATAAATAAATAAATAAATAAATAAATAAGGGAAACACCTTCTGAAAGAAATCTAATCAGATCAGACCTCTGAAAAATGGGCAAAGTTTAGCTTTTGACAGACATTCCTTTTAATCAGTACTGAGTGCAGCCATGTCCCCATATAGCCACTTATTTAAATACTGCATGCAGGAGTCGCCTGGATCTGCCTGAATCGCCCTGACAAAGAGAAACCTTAATAACCACGAACACAGAGTCCCATCTGAAACAGTGCCCAGTCATTTCTAGGAAAGAGAGTCCAGAAAAGAGACGTAAACCATCTGTAGCTCCTGGTGATGTTTGACATTTAACAGGCTTAACACTGTCTCCTGATACAGAGCCTCTGAGTAGATTGACACTTCAAATGGGCAGGAAAGCGGGTCGGCCACGGCTGTAGACATTTTCTTATCGCTTGTGCACAAATGTGCTCTTGGTTCACAAGAAGCACATTTGCACCGTAACAGATACTTTGCTTCAATCAGTTGTTGTTAATCCCCCAGCAGGTTTTTTCCCCCCTTCTTTTTATAAAGATACCATAAAAATACCACACTGACAGTGAAATGGAAGTCAACCCGGCATCTGTGAAGCTGCGTGGAAAGAGGAAGAGTTTTAATCAGTCCGTCTGACTGCCAGGCAGATAAAACTCTGCCATGCTAACATGTTGAGCTGTGCAGACACCCTGGAAAGGTACGGCGCACATTCTAACACAGCCACGTAAGATGTTTAGCAGAGTCCTCTTAAAAATAGTTTTACTCTAAAACAGAGCGTTTGCTGCAGAAACCAGCGAATAAATATACATTAGAGGAATAAATACTATGAAATGTTCAAAAATCTGAAGTTTTAGAGTTTCGAGACGTCAAAAAGAGACAAGCCAGTGAGTTCTCAATGGCTACGCTTACGTGGAGGCTAATATTCACATTATGAAAAGTTTAAAAGTAGGAAAATAATACAACTTCCTCATCATGCACAGCTTGAGCTTTTCTTTAAAGGATTTCTGTCAATAGCGCAAAACAATGTTCTTGACTTGCACCAAAATGGGATAGATATATACAAGTATCAAAGACCAGTCTGAATAATATTACTCTTCACTAACAGGGACCAATTAGATTGACAATGTTTCTTGTAAGAGAACGGCTGCTGTAACAAAGATGGATCTATGCCTACGACTGTGGTTTGGGGAAGGCCTCGGTGAGGACTGGTGGGGGCACCTCAGAGCTGGGCAGATCTCCATGTACTAATGAGAGCCATGAGAACTGAGGAGAAAATGAAAATGAGAACAGAAGAGTGAAAATTTGGCCTTGCTCCTTAAATTAAAAGGTATCTCAAATTAATGATTGTGCTGATTAAGAAGAGCAACATAGGCCCTTTAAAAATAGTAAAGAATTACATCATTTATTATGGATTGAATATAATATTGTATGTATAAATCTTATAAGTTATTAGGTTTATATTAAAATATAATAAATAGGATTTTAAGGTTGAGAAACTTCTAAATTTTTTGCAAGATTTAAAAGAAAAAAAAGAAAAGAAAAAAGATGACTCCGAACTTTAGGGTGCGTTTTCCTGAATGCACAAGGAAGGAAAAGTCGCTGCTCACAACCGCACAGAATGATTACAAGGCTGAAAAAAGGTGTGTAAAATGTTGAGTGTGAGGGATTACTTCGCACCTTTGCAGTCTCTGCGAGTTCATTTTTATATAGCACTGGCATGATGTGACTCTCTCGCCCTACGACAGCTGGGATAGGCTCCACTTACTGCTTTGTCACATGTCACTCGCTGACATCCGTGTTTACCTTGCGTCTGAAGACCGAGAAGGCCAGTCCGCAGGCCTTGCACAGCTGCCCGGCGCTCCCTGAGCTGGTGGGGGGGTAGGTGGAGTACCCAGCACTGGGGGCGAAGCGAAAGGGCCCCGCGCCTGCTCCAAACCCCGGCTGCTGGGCCCGCACCGTGCCCGTGCCCATCACCTCGTTCAACAGCCCGCAGCATGACGCCCACATGGACGATGCTCCTGCCTATAACAACACAGACAGAAATACACCCACATGACTTAGATATGACTTTTAGAGACATCTAGTACAGAAGTTTATGCAGTACTTAAGTATTATCATCGATGAAATTAATGACATTTGAGGATGACATTTTAAATTCTTTTTCAGGCAGATGTAATAATGTAATAATAAAAACATTTTTGTTTGTGCCCTTCTGTTGGCAGAGTCGCATGAAAGACAAGAGGAGCTAAAACGGTTAGTTTTGGGGATTGGATGAGGGGCTGCACTTAGGTCAGTAGGGTGAATAAGGATTGTTTTGAACTGTAAATCAATCAAACCCCCCAATAGAAACAGAAATATGGAGCTAGGGAAGAGCAGAACAGCACTTAGATCTTTTAACTTACTTTCAAATGACTGAAAAATAGAACCTATGTTGTAGAAACATCATTAACATTGGAGCAGATAAAGGTAGAGCCAACTTTAATTACTTTAAAACTACACCTCTGGGTAGCTTGTGAAGATGAATTAAGTATGATCTTATCTTAATACATCATAACGCCATAATTTCTTTACTAATTATAATTACTGTACTGTTAATTAGAACCTATAAAGTTATGAAACAAATAAAGATAAAGTACAATATTGCATAAAGACCCATATAAAATATCAAACTACAGTACGACACTTGAGTAATACTGTGCTCAGGGGAGATCAATGACCGGAAAGAGAGAGAAGCACATTATTGAGAGTGCTCCTGCAGGTCAGAGATAATTAGAAAGAAGACGTCTCAAAAATATATTACCGGTAATGACATTTTTACCAACAGCGCTGTGGCTTAAATTTATAAATTTATTTTGAGCCACGTTAAAAGAGTCCAAGCCATACAACGGCTATTCTTGTGTGGCTCAAATGGGAAGAGGTGGATGTAAATACATACTCTAAACGTCCCGAGGTAGCTTCCAGACTTAAGTTGGTATATGTAAAATTAAAGCAAAATGCCCCACGCAGAAAGAATAAATCGGATGCGTCTGCAGATCTCAAAAACGGCCCAGAGACGGGGAGCAAAGATGGTGCGATGGGAGCTACGGCTCCTTGGAGCATACTGATGCGGGGAGGAAGGAGGGGGGAGGACAGCGAGGAGAGAATATGTCTTCTGTTGTTCCCCAGCCTGCTGAATCAATAGCTGACATGAGCATAATGTAAGCCCTCTTTGGTTCATGGCTCCAAAGGAAAAACAAAGGAATTCACGGGATCCTGCCACATCTTTTCTTAAGACGGCCCTCTGCTCCGACTTGTCACAAACACCCTGTGATCTGACTTCACCCATCTGCTTAAGGATGGCGTTATGTAATCTTAGAAAAGACACACTAAATGTGGTCTCGGGACGCGGAGGGGAAAAGTCCACTTCCACCGGCTCCACAGTTCAAATCATTAACTAATCTCATTAATTGAATGAATGACTGTTTCCGGTGGGCACCGTTAATCTTTCTGTCTCCCTGCCTGCATTTCTGTTTGTCTGTCATTAAATTAATGAATAACAATTTTGCCCGATTTCAATTCATATTTTTTGAGGCTACTACTTAATTCACATGGCATCAACTGGTTCATTATTTTTCAGTTAACCGATAAATTGTTTAGCCTGTAAAAGGAAGTATGGAGGAAAATGTCTTCCTCCATTACTCTCGGCCCGAGGTGATATTTTGAAGAGATCGTTTCGTCTTTCCAAAACGCTGGAAGTTTTCCTTTTACAGTGATACAAACACCCCTCTCCCATTGCCGCATGGGTATAGATTCCAGGGAGCTGTGCTCCTCAGAGATTCTGCTCCATATGGTCCTTATTGACATGATATGTTAGCATCATGCAGCTGCTGCACATCCATGATGTGAATCTCGGTTCCACCACATCCCCAAGGTGCTCTATTGGATTGAGATCTTATGACTGTGGAAGGCCATTTGAGTACATCATTACTAGGGGTGCAACGATACACAAAATTCACGGTTCGGTTTGATACTTTGGTGTCACGGTTCGATATTTTTTCGATACAAAAAAATGTTCATGCCTTTTTAATTTGTCATTTATTAAAATGATAAATATATATTTTAACTCAAAAGTACAGTTTTTAAATTTAATGTTGCTGAAACAAAAGTAATTAAAAAAAATATATATATCTGATTGAGGAATCACTCATCTTTGGAAAAGAGAGTTTATTACAGAGAAATGGCTCTTTCCAAAATAAAAGCTATACTATACGCTTCTTCTGGGCTATATTCTCAGCAGCATATTGTAGCGGGTCAGGGCTGTTCGGGGTTCTGTTTGTACAGTTATGTTTTGTTTATGTTGCCATAGTGACGGGTGACGCCCTCTCGCTGCGACGGTGTGTCCTTCCGGGGTCAGAGGGCGCCCTGTGTGTTGTTGTTGTTGCTGTGCGGTTGCTGCGCTGAGCAGTTAGCTAGCGGCAGTGTTCTTCTGCAGATGTCAATAAACGGCTGTGCTCCCTGGCTAGCTCACGGGAAGCAAGACCAAACGACACCTCCGTCTCCTCGTTGTCTGAGCTCGCCACATTGGTGTCAGAAGTGGGATGATGGTGGCACCCCATGTTCTGACCCGAGTGACTTTTCCCCCGCCGGTCGTGACCGGCCGGTGCGCCAAAAGAAGGCACCTGGACATTTGCAAAGTGAAAGCAAAAAACAAGCGCAAATTCAAACGCGATTTCAATATGTCACATATTGACAGTGGCTCACCGATGCCAATGACATAATTACCCAGCTACATTTCCGAAAGAATGCAAAAGCATTGACATATATTTTTCCTTCCTACAATAGCCCGACGGGCAGGGCAGAGATAGATTTTGGTAGCCCGACTGGAAAAATTTAAGCCCTGTGTTACAGGCATGGCCCTTTAAGGATGAAGCCTGATGGGAAATGTATTCGGGATGTGTGTAGCGGGACTGCCTGGTGTGTGTGTGAAGAGAGAGAGCGGAGAAGGGGAAAAAGTAACGGTTAGCTACAGAAGAGACGAAAAGAAAATAAATAAAAGGAATATAATAACTCCCTCGACAGCCAGAGTTGTGTCGGCGATGCTCGCTGTGAGTAAACTGTTTCAGCCCACTGTACGCGGTGTTCGTGCCTTAGAGAAGAAATAAAGTTCGGTGAAGCAGTTTCCTACGCCTCCTTCGATCTTTTTGCTAGCGGAGTTGACCTGTATAGTAAGCTGTTGCCGGCTACGAGTCAGTTACGGAACCTTCAAGTAACTGCCAGAGGTTTCCTTACTACGGTTCGGGGCCGCGGATCTGGCGCGGTAACACCTGTATCTGATTGAGGAATCACTCATCTTTGGAAAAGAGAGTTTATTACAGAGAAATGGCTCTTTCCAAAATAAAAGCTATACTATACGCTTCTTCTGGGCTATATTCTCAGCAGCATATTGTAGCGGGTCAGGGCTGTTCGGGGTTCTGTTTGTACAGTTATGTTTTGTTTATGTTGCCATAGTGACGGGTGACGCCCTCTCGCTGCGACGGTGTGTCCTTCCGGGGTCAGAGGGCGCCCTGTGTGTTGTTGTTGTTGCTGTGCGGTTGCCGCGCTGAGCAGTTAGCTAGCGGCAGTGTTCTTCTGCAGATGTCAATAAACGGCTGTGCTCCCTGGCTAGCTCACGGGAAGCAAGACCAAACGACACCTCCGTCTCCTCGTTGTCTGAGCTCGCCACATTGGTGTCAGAAGTGGGATGATGGTGGCACCCCATGTTCTGACCCGAGTGACTTTTCCCCCGCCGGTCGTGACCGGCCGGTGCGCCAAAAGAAGGCACCTGGACATTTGCAGGACTTTGTGTGGGGTAATGGGGTCGTCGGGGACGACTGACCCCTTAGGTGGGGGCTATGTAGCGGGTCAGGGCTGTTCGGGGTTCTGTTTGTACAGTTATGTTTTGTTTATGTTGCCATAGTGACGGGTGACGCCCTCTCGCTGCGACGGTGTGTCCTTCCGGGGTCAGAGGGCGCCCTGTGTGTTGTTGTTGCTGTGCGGTTGCCGCGCTGAGCAGTTAGCTAGCGGCAGTGTTCTTCTGCAGATGTCAATAAACGGCTGTGCTCCCTGGCTAGCTCACGGGAAGCAAGACCAAACGACACCTCCGTCTCCTCCTTGTCTGAGCTCGCCACAATATTAAACATATCAGGTCCCCATAAGGAGAATCATGTGCTAACGGCTGTCTAAATGACTCGGGTAAAGTTTGTAGCATGCATGCTTGTTGTTTTTGTCTGCTTCCACTTGTCTTTGCACTAGGATGATGTCGGCGTAAATGTGCAGTCATATTCGTTGTGTTCCCACTAGTGCTGTCAGCGGCAAATCTCCGTTAACGAGCTACCCCTGCATGGGGCTAGACGGCCAACACGTTAACGAGCTAACTGCGCTAACACACTAGTTCCCACCCATGTAATTGAGCATTGCGTGGCACATCCAACATACTGTTTTACTTTAGTCCATGACGCGCTTACCTTCAGGGTCATACGTCACATGAAAACCAAAATAATTCCAAACGCCAGATCTGAATGAGGGTGGGGGAGGTTCAATTTGCCATGTTGCAAGGAGAGCTTAACTTCTGTCTCGCTAGCTTGCCCTGCGCTCTTCCTTCTGAGATGCTGTCTGTGTTGAGCGCTCAGTGGATCTGCGCTCGACAGTGCAGCCTAGGCGGAGTAGTCGAACGCAGATTCACTGAGCGCTCAACACAGACAGCATCGTCAGAAGGAAAGTTGATAAAATAAATTACAAATTTTGTATTGTTCGATACATATGCGTACCGAACCGAAAGCACTGTATCGAACGGTTCAATATCGATACGAGTATCGTTGCACCCCTAATCATTACACTAGGACCAGCCCGAATCCTTGAATGCATAGCTCGCAGTTGTTTATGCCGAATTATCTCCAATTTTCCTTTTCTTAGCTGACAGCGGTGGCACCCGGCGTGGTCTTCTGCTGCTGTAGCCCATCTGCTTCAACGCTTCACTTGTTGTGTGTCCAGAGATGGTCTTCTGT